TAACCCCGACCTACAGATCAGACATAGTAAATCACGAATTTCACTTAAAAGAAACGAAACTATAGTATAAAAGTCAACTTTTATTTATATTCTTCTTCTTCTTCTTACTTCTTTCACAAAAAACGTCGTCGTAAAATCAGACCATAAATCAAAACGTTTAAGCATTTGGAAATCATCTCCTCAAACAAATAGACAGCTAAAGCCAGGTAGAAGTTACCTTTATAAATGCCTGCTTTATATCCGAAATTCTGGCCATGAATATTTCATCTGTGGAGGTAACGCAATGGGAAAAGTCACTAGCGCACCATGCAAACAAAGCAAGGGCGGCTCGTCGCCGCCGGAGCTTTCTATTCACGGCTAGGATTTACGTGGCTTTTACAATAAGGAACGGTAAAGCTGGCTTTCGCCTAATATCCACTACAAATATCAAGGAAGGAGAAGTTTGAAATGATACTGAGTTGGTCTCATGTTATATCGGCACGTCATTTTTATGTTAGCATTTCCGAACAAGTACAGTGTGAAATTATTATGAAAAAAAAAATGCTATATGAGTGGCTAGTAATAATAGTACAATATAACATTATAATTTCGAAATGAAAGTTTATCAGGTTTTTTTATCAGAATCTCATACATTTTTTTTTTAATTATATGTATATTATTGTTTCCTAAATTATTAAATATCGTTTAAATAACAAAACACTATCCAAAATTTGTCGAACCACCACCTTAAATAAATTTGTGACAGTATTTGAAAAGGTTAATAAACAAACTTCACTTAAAATGTGCTATTGTACATATTTTTAGTTCTTATATTTACCGTAACATTTTTTTTAACGTACATAGTACGAAAAGTGTGTATTAATATTGATTCATGCATTAAAGAACATTAACCCAAATTTATTTATTCATCAATTACAAAACATTGACAAAGACGTCAAAAAAAAAGTTAAATTGATTATTATAGAGATTCCTTATTGAGTACGTGTTTATATACAAACAGAATTTTATTTTTATACAGGATGTCCCAAAAATAATGTAATGGACTTTTTTCATGAGTGTTATGCACACATCATAATTAATACATTTGTGTCAAAAAAAAATGTATGACATTAGCTCAAAATGTGGGTGTCGCAAAAATTTACTAGACTAAATAAAATTAATGATTTTAGAAAAATTTGTCACTTCTCTTGGTCGTTACGGACGTCGAAAAAATGTGACATCAGTTTAATAAAATACTTAAAAAAAAAGCCATGTAAGCGTCTTCTACTCCAGATTTGGCGGAAAATTTTCTCTGAATATTTGCAAATATTCTGTTTGTTAAAATGATGTTAAACTGTCAAGAGTATTATTATCATGAACAACCTCAAAATTTGTCACACTTTTAATACTTTTTTTGTAAAAAACGTAACACTGAAGCAGTTGAAACACTCTTTTTCAATACTAAACGCCATCCATTTTTTTGTTTATTTATTTATTTGTTTGTTTGTCTGTTTATTTATTTTTTGAAAAGAACTATTTCCTGTAAATTTTGTCCCTGCCTTTTAAAAGTTGACATTTCAATAATCTATGGGGTAATGCCCTTTAAAATTAAGAGATTCTAAAGCTCCCATAAATTTCTGGTGACATCTTCTGTCACAGTCATAAATTCAGGAATAATACCTTTACCTACCTCAAGGTCCCGTTATGGACTTCGACCATTATGTCTGTGATTACAGGAAATATTTGGGCACGTTGGAGTTAATCTTTAAATGGTAATCCAGAAAAATATTGTCATGACAGTGATCACTTAATTCTAATTGCGTATAAGAGAAAAAGAGAAATTGATAATTGTAGAAATGAAGAAACAGACGTAAAATAAAACTGGGATACGTTTTGAAAATTATATACGTTTTATATACATGTAGTTTACATGCTATCATTTACAAATTAATAATAATAAATATAATTAATATCTAGAGACGTTCGTTAAATGTTTTCTCTTTGCTTGATAGAATAATGGTTTTATGTTACTTCTAATCAAAATTTTAAAAAATGAATGACTTAACGAAAGGAAAAGTATACGACCCATTGTGTACACATACCTACGTGTTTTTAGTTGTAAATCATGGAAAGAAGGAGAATTAAAAAATGTAAATTTCCTTTGTATTATTTTATTTTGTTAAATTTTCAAACTAGCGTATAACTTTCAGTAGTTATTATCTAAAATTATTTGGAAATGGTAAAGCTAACCGAAATTTGTTTGTTATCCCCCCCCCCTATATTAATAATAATTTAGATATCATAATTTTAGTGAATAAATGAGTGGTTTAAAAAATACTTTCTTGCTAACTTAATATACGGGGAGAGTGATTCATTAATTATTAAAAAAAAAGTGAACTGAAAAATAATACAGAGTGTTCTGATTTAAGGCATAACACACAATTTAGTCTTTTTTAAGAAAAATCTCTATACATATATATTTAAATATTCTCATTAGCCTCTTCCTAGGTTTTATTGCTATAGTTTATTTTTAAAACCACATTAGTCCAACTTTTTTGACATATTTTGGCAATGCAAGGGATTTTTTTAAAGTCTGTTTTACAATATTTTAGGGAAGCTAAATACAGGTATGCATTTTGATGTGGAATCAGTTCTATCAAATTTTAATATACAGCGTGAGACATTAAGCACACGGTCCTCTAATTCTTATTAATTATTAGAAATAGAAGAAAAAGTCAAAGCTCACAGTTGAACAGTTCTTTAAGGACTATAATTTAAAATTATTTTTAACCAACATACAACTTTTTTTTACTGAAACACCATATATATTTGTACAAATTTTGATTGGCCTCTTCTTAAACTTTGCTTTTGAAATTTCGATGCAACATTGCCACGTTATTTCAATTTTCTTAAAATGTTTTAAACATGGTAGTGTTCACAAGAAAAATGGCAATAGGGTTATTTTTAAAGTCTGTTTTACAATATTTTGTGGAAGAATAAATAAAGAGACGCGCTTTGTTGTCGTATCAACTAAATGAATAAATTTTGATAAATAGAGTGTTTTTAAAATAAATCTAAAACTTCACAAGTTTCAAATAGCTATATTTCAATTTTTTCCAATGGAACACTCTGTAGTTTATTACTAAAAAACAAAAAATAAAACAAGATGCAGTAACATTGGTTGTACTATTTGAAAAATATAGATATTTGAACATTTTTTTAATTAAAACATTTTTATAAACACTCTATATACGAAAATTTAATCTCATTTATATCACAACGAAACGCGTACCTTTCTTCATCTTCCCACAAAATATTGTAAGACAGATTTTAAAAATAAACCTATTGCGATTTTTTCTGTGAACCCTTCCACGTTATTCCAATTTCATGAAAACCTAAGAAGACGTCAAACAAAATAGGTAAAGATATATAGGGTGTTTCTCTTAAAAAACTAAGTTTTGTGTTACGTTTTAAAACAGAACACTGTACAGGTACTTAGAAATAATTTTAGAGTATAATCCCAAAAAACCATACATGTTTGATCCTTGACTTTTTGTATTTATGATAATAATTGTTGAGATAAATAAAATTTAGATATTATTTTATCAAATTACTTATTACTAGGAATAAAAAAAAAATCAAGTACTCAAGTTTGAGGATATACACTAAATTTATTTTCAACTATATATAGAATGTGTAAAGGATTCACAAAAAGCACAACAGGGTTAATTTTAAAATATGTTTCACACTATTTTATGCATAGATAAATAAGGGTATATGGTTTATTTTGGTATAAAAATAAATCGGATCTTATTATTACAATTTTCAGATAACGATGTTTTATACTTAAAGTTGATATTTTTTGAGATTTTCTACTTTTTTCAGAGATATATATATAAATTGAAAAAAACAGAATAAAAAATAGAGTAACAGGGTGAAAAAAACTAAACATCGATATTTGAAAATTGTAACATTTTAGAATTTTTATAAACACTCTGTATATTACGTTATATTTAAGTGATACCACAGCAAAGCGCGTATTTCTGTTTAACTCTCCATAAAATATTGTAACACAGATTTTAAAAATAACATAAATGACATTTTTTATGTGAACATTTGCATTGTAAAAAAATTCAAGGAAATTGAAATAACGTGGCAAGGTTCCATTGAAATTTCAAAATGAACATATGTAAACATATATAGCATGTTTCATTTTAAAAACTAAATTCGGTGCTATGTTTAGACAACAAAACACTCTGTATAGTTCAAAATAATTTTAATGTTTGTAACCCAAAGATCCGTACAACTTTAAATTTTTCTATCTCTAATAACGACTAGTTCATGACATATTGAAGACCACGTGCTTACTGACTCTGTATATTTGCAGTTTATAAATAAGGTAGCCCTTTAGCTTTATTTTTAATTTAGCTGCCAAACTAAAGGTCTTATCTTCCATAAAAAGAAAATTGTTGACAATAATATCTAATTTATACGCCATTTTTTCTATTTACATAATTCAATTTAGATCCAAGAAAATTTTAGACCTTTTTTCTGTATTATTTTAAAAGCAAATTAACAATTACCTAAATTATAGTTATCTATTACCAAAAGTAAAACAATGAAAGTACTTTTGTTGTAGATACATAATTTAAAAAAGACGTTACATATCATTTTTTTATTTTTAAATAATTGTAGCCCCCATTTTGAGTCCATTTTAAAAGTAAATATATATGTTTAGTTTAACTAATAGTGACTTTTGTATATCGTTGAATAAAAGTTCATAACTTTTCTTAATTAGTTTTGTTCATTAGAACCCAATATTTTTCATATGGGGTGACGCTATATAGTACAGAAAAAAGTTTGAGCCCTCGTCGTGTGTGTGTAAATTTTCATCCCTACGTTTTTTAGTGGCGCGAAACAACATACTCATGCAAAGCTACATTTTAATTTAAAAATAATCTTGACATTTCCCTTCACTTTTTGTATCTTCACACCGTCCAAACAAAGCCATATTTCCCGTGATGCGCTTCTCCCAACAATCGCTTTCCGACAGCTCGACAGCCCTTCCAGAAACCGCACAATCAACCCCCAGCTATTCCATCCCCTGCGCCGCCCATGCTAACGAGCCTCAATGTAACCTGTCAGGAGTTGACCCCCCGCGGACTTGACAAGAAACGAAAAAGGCACCAAGTGGTCCCTCGGTTCCGAAGCGCTCCATTCTAGTTCCACCCTCCGTCTAGTGCAGAGCTGTGCTTCCTCGCCGAGTGCTGCCAGTGCCATGTGCTCCTGCGGAAAAGGATTACGATTACGCGGAATGCCGCTCTCCACGTGGATATTTTTGGTTTTCGCACACGGTAAGAGCTTCATTAAACGCGACACGATTTCCGATTTTCCACGTCCCGGGTTTACGGCTGAATAATGAGCAAAAAGCGTTTCTGCGTGTGTCTTCGTCGATATTCGAAACCGCAGGAAGTCGAGGGTGTTTAGCGGTGATTTATGACGGTCTTTAGCCAGATGGCTTTAATCTCGCCAAATTTCGACTGTTTTCAGGCGTGTCAATCATTGTGTTGGGGATGCGAGCAGATGGGATAAGGACGTAGATAAGGAGGTGGCGCCGAATTTTTTCGTTTTTTTTTTTTTAATAAAAATGTGCTATTACGGGAAATGTAATTTGGGTTGTACCTGTTTAGAGTAGACGTATTTTTGGGGAGTTAATAGTTATTACAAGGAAAGAAAACAAGTTTCTGATGTTATCGGTGTAATCTGAAACTTTGATGCTTGTTGAGACGTTGGGGAAGATTTGTATTTATTTTGTCTGTCGCCTGATTAAAATAAATATTCAACGCCTCTAGTGACAGTTTTAAAGGAACATTAGACATCCAACCGAGAACGGAATTTTTTGTAACTAGTGATGAAACTTTATGCCGTTTTCATCACGATTTTGATAGCGATAGTAGGTTATACATAGTTTTAAATTGCTACTAAAATTTAATTATACACGGTTTGTTGAATCTTTTTGAAATCCAATTTTCTGCAATTTTTTTCTAATTTAATGCTTCATTTATTTTTGACATTCAGGGCTAACTTGATTTTTTTAAATAGTACTAGTAGTCAGATGTTCCGTTTTTAAACAGTACATTTTCTTCTGATTCAAAAATGTAACACATACACTATTTTATTTTTTTGCCAACATGGTAAAATAAATTGTCAAAATAAAAATACTGAAAATCAAAAAATTGTAGCCAGCCTTGACAATGCGTCACCTGTCATAGTCCTGGTGTAAGACAATATATTCCAAAATTATACTAGTGCCCAAACATTGTAAAAATTTAGTATTTTAAAGTATAGCCCAAATTTCAAGAAGATCCAACTAACCGTTCCTGAGATATTCAACTGCTTCCATACTTTTTAGCCACCCTGTATGATATAACGTTTAATAATTATTTATTGAAACAGTGTAATACAGATCCTCGGTTGAAGCTTAGCGGTTGGCAGATGGTGAACAGGGGCGTACAGTATAGAACATTCACTTGTTGGTGTTTTTAGACCGTATGTAGTTGATTTCCAACAATATCAAACCATCCAACAACTATCTTTCAAAATTCAGCGCTGAAATTTATGCAGATCTCAAAATGGCACGCGTTTTCAGTGAAGGATCGACGATCCCTAGAGGGAAGGTTCATCGACCATTGTTGGTCTAAATGACACTAATAGGGGTATAAAATTTTATTAATACACTGTCCCAAATATACACTTAACCCTTGCATAACTTAAAAATAACCTCCTGGAAAAAATAATGCAACCCATTTGTTGTTTTTTTTTTCTTAATTCTGCACGTGTTGAAATATTAATAGTATACTTTCCCACAACACGTTTTCCGAAAAAGAATTTATCTACACTAGTCTGTACTCTATTTCACACACAATGTCATGCTTTAATCGACACTTGTTGAGCAAATATTGTTGGAAGCGGATGTTGCAGCTTCAGTTATGTACATTCACTTAATTCCACGCTAGAATCGGAATCCATAATTTAGTATTTTCTCGAATGTAAATGTGCGTCGACCTCGTCGTTGCAGTTACAGGACATTACAACAACATAATAGACAGATTTAGATTAGTTTTTAGTAACTATTGGTTTGAAGTTTGCTTAAAATTGCACGTAAATGTTTTTGTTTAAAAAGTTCATCAAAAAAATCGATTGAATCGATGATTCAAGCTTCAAAAAAGGTTGTTTTTAAAAAAAGCACAATATATAGGTGTCCCAGTTAAAAAGCGACAGTGTATCCTGAGAACGAATAGAATTATTGAAATTCTGTAAACGTCATTGTTTTTAGTTTGAAGGGGAAAACTTAATTTAGTACACAGCAAATATAACGTACATAAGGCGTTTGGAATTTTGATAGACCATTAAATTGCTATTACAATGATATACAACATTTATTTCATTTTCAGTTGTTAAACCAGATGAAATTTATGGTCTTAAAAGAATGAAAGTTGACTAAAAAAACGTTCTAACACTTTATTTTATAATCAAAATGATTAGAATGTGTTCGGACTGTCCTAAAATGGTGGTAGTCTTTTATATCACTCAAGTTTCGTTTTTTTTATCAATTGAAAATGAAATAAATATCTAAATATCTTGCATCATTGTAATCGCAATTTAATGGTCTATCAAGATCCATTAAAAATGTAGACTGCAATTTTAAAAAATATAGGTTTGTAGAGAAACTAGAAACAATGGAGTTTACAGAATTTCAGACACTCTATCCGAAGTGCGAAACCGAAATAGGCCAAAATCGAAAATTGACAATCAAAATATCGAAAAATCCAAATCTCGATAAATTGAGAAATCATAAAACTTAAAAATTCGAAAAATTTAAAAATTGAGATTGAAAGATCAAAAGAACGAAAAACAGAAAAGTGATGAAGTCGAAAAATCGAAAAACAGAGAAATCGACAAACAAAAAGTTAATAGTTGAAAAATTGGAAAAGCGGAAAAATCAAAAAACGAAAAATTGGAAAACTGGAAAAACTGAGAAACCGAAATAGGCCAAAATAAAAAACTGAAAAACTTATAAATCGAAAACCTGAACAATCAAATCTCGATAAATCGGGAATGAAAAATTAACAAATCGAAAAACTGAAAAACTGAACAGTTAAAACCAGAAAGTCGAAAAATCGAAAGATTAAGAAATATTGAAAAATTAAAATAGCAAAAGATTGAAAAATCTAAAATTTAGAAATCCAAAAATTGAAAAATCGAAAAATCCAGAAGCCAAAAATTGAAAAGCCGAAGAATTGAAATATTGAAGTATCCTAAAACTGAAAAATCGAGAAATCAAAAAAGTGAAGTCGAAAAATAGACTAAACATTAAAAAATCGAAATATTGAAAAATCAAAAAATTAAAGAATTGAAGAACAGGAAAATCGAAACACTCGAAGGTCAAGAAATGGGAAAATCAAAACATCGATTAATTGAAAAATCGAAAAATTGAGAGTTCATAAAAGTCAAATTTGAAAAATTAAAAAATCGAAAATTTGACAAAATGACAATTGAAATATCGAAGAACTGAAATGAAAAATCGAGAAATCAAAAAATCTAAAACTTTAAAAATGAAAAAAATCTAAAATTTAAAATCGAAAAAGTAAAAAACCGACACATCGAAAAACCCAGGAGTCAAAAATCGAAAAGTCGAAGAATCGAAATATTGAAATATCCCAAAAGTGAAATATCGAAAACTGAAAAATGAAAAAAAACTGAAAAATGGAAAACCTGGAAAATTCGAAAACTGAAATATCCAAAAACTGAGAACCTAAAAAGTCGAAAAATTGAGCAAGCGCGAAATCCAAAAAGTGAACTTGAAAAATCGAAACCTTAAAAAAACTAAAAAATGAAAAATCAAAAACCTGAAAAATCGAAAATTTAAATAATTGAAGAACAGGAATATCGAAACCCTCGAAAGACAAGAAATGAGAAAATCAAAACATCGATTAATTGACAGTTTATAAATGTCTAATTTAAAAAATTGAAAAATGGCAAATTTGAAAAAACGACAATTGAAAAACAGAAAATCAAAACATTTGAAAAATTCGAAAACTTGAAAAACTAAAATATCGAAGAACTGAAATGGGAAATCGAGAAATCGGAAAATCTAAAATTTTAAATATTGAAAAATTAAAATATCAAAAAACTGAGAAAAAAACTGAATAATCTAAAATTTAAAAATCGAAAAATTAAAAAAACGACAATTGAAAATTGAAACATTTGAAAAATTGAAATATGGAAGAGATGAAATGAAAAATCGAGAAATCGAAAAATTTAAAATGTTAAATATTGAAGAATTAAAATATCAAAAAATTGAGAAATCTCAAATTTAAAAATCGAAAAAGTAAAAAGTCAAAGTTAAAAAAGTCGAAGAACAGAAATATTGAAAAATCCCAAAACTGAAATATCGAAAAACTGAAAAATGAAAGAAAAACCGACGAATCGAAAAACTGAAAAATCCCAAAACTGAGATTCTAAAGAATCGAAAAATTGAGAATCAAAAAAGTGAAGTCGAAATATCGAAACCTAAAAAAAATCGAAAAATTGAAAAATCAAAAACCTGCAAAATCGTAAGATCGAAAAATTGAATAACAAGTAAACTGAAAAATCCCAAAACTGAAAATGTTCAAAAACTGAGAAATTAAAAAATTGAAAAATTGAGAAACCAAAAAACCTGAAAAATCAATTAATTGAAAAACCGACAAATAAAGAGTTTATAAAAGTCAAAAATTGAAAAATCGAAATATTTAAAAATCGTAAAATTGAAGAGAAAAACTGAAAACCTAGAAACTGTAAAATCCAAAAATTGAATAATAAATAGGAGTAAACTGAAAAGTCCCCAAACTAAAATTTTGAAAAACTGACAATTCGAAAGTTGAAACAGCAAGAAATTATGGTCGAAACCAGTTAGGATGTGTTTCAGATCACGGATCATGGCTTATAAATCAAATCGTTTCTGAACGCTTAGAGTCGACATTGGCCTGAGTGCGCTGTCGTCTATAGATCGAACGAGTTTTTAGACGACGAACTGTAATTCGTGTGATCTAAATTAAAGTGAAGGGAACAGTAAGCAGCTTGTAATATTCTGGTAAATCTAGTGTCAATTTGTCGAAAGTAAAACGCGTCGTTAAAAATATTATGACATTTTTTCTAGTTAATTTTATTCCTAGTTAGAAACAAACACTCTTGCCAACATAAGTCGAGGAGTCCTCAACCGTCATTTAATTTAAACTATGACGCTTCTCTATGTTCTCTGGTACAATAATCACAACTTAAATTTCATAAAATAGTGCACTCATACTTATCGCACTGTGAGAGCAATACTCACGTAAGTCAAAATTTGCCGAATTCTTAAATTTATCATTAATGCATAAAAAAGTTAATGTAGTTTTAGTATATGTAAGTATAAACGGTTTTTAATAGTTGCGTAATGCTCAAATTCATCAAAACGTTTGTATTGCATTTCCGAACATTACGTGTGCAGTTAATGCAAGACTGCCGTATCTCAAAACTAAGTGAAATGCACGTAAGCTGTGAAGCTATGAGATTTCAGTCGATGTTGATGAACATGGAAATCGATTTTTCTTTGAATAGGAAAAGTAGGAAAGTTAATTAGAACGAAATAAAAAATTTAAAATTTGTGAAAAATTCCGATGGAATTTTGTAACTTCGTATAGAAAGGAAGTGTATCAGGAAATAATAGTCAATCAATTCCCGAACATCACGACAACGGCTTAAATGAAAATGATTAAACAATATTTATGAAGGTTCTTTAGCAATACGTAAAAAAATACGATGGACTGAATCAATTATGTATAAAAAAACGAATTAAATAAAATTATAACACATTTTATAACAATTTAGCCATAGTACACTGACCGCCAAAAAAAAACCGGACACCCTAAAAAATTTAGCAAAACGAAACTTTAAAAACTTTTAATTTAACTAGTGATCGTTATTTTATTAAAGAACCATTCACTATTGACATATAAGGTATAAATTATCAAAAAAAAGAAGCCAATTAAACGCAGAATTAAATTTAATTTAACAAAATAACAGAAACAGAGCAACACTTTGAAAGACGTCTGTAAGAGTTAACGGAATTATTTTCGCGTGAAAACGTTTATTAATTGCCAAATATATAATCAAATGATGAAAAACACTATTTACAACAACAGCCTCCTTCATTGTTTTTTTTTTTTTTAAGAAAATATGGTACTTGATCTGTTTCTGTTATTTTGTTAAATTAAATTTAATTCTGCGTTTAATTGTCTTCTTTTTTGTGCTAATTTGTACATCATGTATCAATAGTGAATGATTCTTTAATAAAATAACGATCACTAGTTAAATTAAGATTTAAAGTGGTTTTGCGAAATTTTTCAGGTGGCCGGTTTTTTTTGCCGGTCAGTGTAGATGTTGAATGAATTAATACTGTGATCGTTTTGTGTTTTGTTATATTTTTTTCATTACAATGTGTTGCTAGTTTGCTCTTGTCTTAAATTTATTAACACGCAAGCCAAAATATTTGATATGGTGTAGCAGTGCAATAGTCACGTAAGTCAAAATTTCTTGTTTTCTATAACGAGTAGAAGGGTCTACTCTAAAGGAATAAAAACACGATTAATAATAGATTGACAATACGACTATAATGTATTTCGAAACCTTTGGTATTTAAGATACAAATAATATGTACGAACTTGGGAATTTTAAATCATCATTACTCAAAACACGCTGGTTTTGAGTTACGTGAGTATTGCTCTCACGGTGCGTTATGATCATTATTGTAATTGTTGTTGTTTAAACCTTCGTGCTCTTTAGATCGAACCCACAACGTTTCGGTTTTTTTTTTTCAAATCAGGAACGATTCACCCCATTTTCTCGAAAATGTAAAAATATAGTAATGTCGCGCCTGATTATATTTGATAATAAGATAATAATAATTTTCATATTAACCTCCTCACCCAAAATACCTAATATTCGGACCCTTTAGCTCCATTGTAGCTTAATTCAATGAATCAGTCCTCTCCTCTGCTTTAAGGAGACAAAATCAAATTTCATTTTTTTAACACAACATGCGGTCGCTGATGCCTGGTATGTGACCGTGCTAATTGCCGAGTTCTTTGGAAGTATAAATATAAACACTTGAAGTTAAGCATGTTGTTATTACTGAGAGGACAGTTTTTCATCTTGATTATCTGTTTTAATTTTAAAAATAATAAATCAGAAAAACCTCAATTATTTATAAAAAAATTTTATGCAGGTTTTCTTTATATATAAAAGGCGTGTTTACTTACTGTACAATTGTTTGACGTTAAAAATCTTTGAATCTAGGTAGTTGTTACGTACAATACAATAATAATATGGGCTTAAATCTGAACCCACACTGGTAATTTACTGTCAGATTTTGAAAACAAATAACAAAAATAATTCATGCAATGAAATTTTGACAAATTTTTGACTGATCTCAAACTATGTATCCAACAACTGGAGTAATTTTGAATTTAAAATTAATTACGTTACATTCATATGTAGTTCTGTCCCGTATAACACTAGGTACATTCAATTTGAAACTGAATTTAGAGCAACTCAACTTGTATTATGGAATTAAAGCTGTATTTAGAGCAAGAGAGAGGTAATATAAGCGCTATTTGTTTCTGTTTCTTCGAAACAAGTTGAAATTGCCTCAATCCAGTTGTAAATTTAGAACCAGTGCTGCAAACAATATGAAACAAAACAATGCACTAAAGGGTGTTATTTTATTACCAACGAGAAAGTAATGTTGTTTGGTAAAGTTGTGTTTACCTTGAACAAAATCTACGTTTTTAAATAACTACGGGTCTACGGAAAACTTGTGGTTGCGAATTTTTTAAAACCTCTATCTACTAATTACACAGCTATGAAAACTCGCTGCGCTAAAAGAATGCCCACATATTTGGAGACATAAACACACACATCCCTCGGTAAAATCGTTGTTTCTTTGTTTGTTGTCATGACTCAGCTCCCAGTGATTAGTAGTCAAATATCAGTCCGTCAATCATCTTTCCCCGGCGATTCTCGTCCACATGTGACAACGTAAACACCGAAATCCAGTAGTGCTAACACCGTGAAAAAACAAAAACAAACTTTGTGTATTTAAAGTTCCAATTTTAAACACAGTGTAACTTCTTGCCCCACGGTCGTGCAACACAAGCAATTAACTCCAAATAGATAAACTTCCCCTTGTCCTTTCCTAAATAGATAAATCCGAAATGTTTAAACAAACATGGAACTGTTGAAGCTCTCGACGAAATTCTGGTTTCGGTTTTCGATGTCGAATAAATCAATCGACGTGAAAGCACAATGCAACCGAGAGACTCCGAGGAAAATAAATAACGTTTTTAAGTGGCATGAATAATCAAGTCGGGACCTTTTTTTCGTGGCTGCGACTCGGCATTAAAGTCGACGGGAAAAAAACAAGCACCCTCGCTGCATGGTACACGCTGTGTTAATATTAATGGTTTTTGTGGGATATATGGATGGGATTAATATATCTTTTGTGCTTGTTACAGAGGCGTATGCTATGGGGGAGCTGGCCAAGTGCGAGAAAGTGGCGGCGGTGGGGGCCTGGAGGGACCACAACACGCTGGTGGAGACGAGCTTGAGGACTTTGGCGGGGACATGGATTTCCGAAGGGTACGCACAAAACAATTAAATTCGACTCAAGTGTGCGCGTTAAAAAAACTGGATCCCGAGATTATACAGCATGACTTAAAATGTAGCTCGGGATGACACGTAATCACTAAGTAGAACATTAATTAGCAAACCAAATTAACCTCTTACCATTCCAAGTCCGACACGTGTAAGAGTGTGAATGTATAAATTTAAAAAAGTGTGTTTTGGTAGCACTTGATAAGCACCCGAATGACTAAATGAAAAAACATGTTTTTTGATGATAAGTGGTTGAGAAGTGACAGAATGTATTACATACGGGATTGTTTTTGTTTACTGTGGCTCACCTCTTGCTTAATGAATTTTAACCACGTCACCAGTGGCGTACCTGGTTTTTGAAAAGGATTTTTTTTTAATTTCTAAAAATTTTGGTAACACAGTGAGCTCTCGGACTGAAACAGTGAAAATTAATGACGTGGAACAGAAAGAGCTTTCATGGCCAAAGTTAATAACACAAAGACGCCTTCCGGATTAGGAAAGTGTCAAATTTGAGTAGGGTTGCGACGTTTCACCCACTTTCGAAAGAAGCATTTTCAGGAAATTTGCGAATAAGAAAAGAACGACACTTAAGGTAAATCTTTTCTTATCATACAGAAATAAGGGAAATGTCGAAACCCTTTTCAAATTTGGCACGCTCTCGGAAAGCATCTTTCAGTTATTGACATTTTATGGGATTTATACAATGGTACAACTCGGTTGCACTGACTCCTTAATGTTTACAAGTATGCCATAAAACCGGAACTGAATTCATTACTGTAAAGTTTTTCAGAATCTGAACTGTATAAAAAAAGATAAAACAAAAGATTACCTATGTTCAGTTTTTCAAGAGAATGATTTTATTTTAATATTTTAAAACATTTTTAATTTATCGGCTAGCATGTAATTTCACAACGGCCCACCAGACAATAAAATTTATGTGTAGCAGTTATTACACCTTTGGTTTATTTACAAGTTTAACTGGGCAATAAGTCTTCCCCTTTGTGAAACACAAATAAACGTAAACATTTAATTTTTCACAGATTATATTAAGTAAACCCCAGAAAAGTGAGGTGTTATAAAAGCGCCTATCACCAATTAATCGTCGCTTAAAATACGTCAAACCTTCTTTACCCAGATTCGTGGCAACAAAACTTTCAAACCCACGTATCAGATTAAAACTAACAAGTCCAAGATCCCCACAATCCATTATATTCCCATTTCGTCTTGACAGGTCCAACTGCGTTCCAAAAGCCATAAAATTTTCAGGTATGCTTCGATCTGACGCCGTAAATAAACTCGTAGCATTACAAAATTGGCGTAAAATTAATATATTTTTAAAACAGTTCATGCAGGTTTTATAGATTCTTATGTTTGGTCGTATTTCACGCAGATTTATACGTTTATGAAATAGTTGTGGTAGCGTGGATTTATGACCTTTGTGTTAACTCGTCTAGTTTACAATGAAATGAGTATTTAAATAAACGGAGCCGTAATCCTATTATAAAGCATTTAGCACCCCATAAAATTTGGTAGCAATAGTACACCTAGGTAGACGTGAAGTCTGTCTTCTGGAAACTCCTCGAATAAATTAGAATACACACAAATATTTAGACGAGTCGATCAATTAACACCATCGATCGGTAACTGAAAACCCGCTCCGACAGAGCACTGGCATCTCATTACTAAATAAATAAGAGCACAATTGGGTTACGTGGGCCAAAACGACACGAAAACTTTAAATTTTTTAGGGTTTGATGTAGTTCGGTAATTCACCGCTAGTTTTGTTGTAATTTATTAATGACATGTAGTATTTCAATGATTAATTATGCTGTGCTTATGCGACATACGACAATAAACCGCTTGACCTTAAGATGCTTTGTTTTGCAACTCAATGTTTTTTAACAGTTCCAAACAAATAAGACTATCTTTTTTAAATATTTGAGATGAACGAATTGTGTGCAGCATTATTATCTTATAATATAATGTAGGTTAAGGTAACCTTAATTAACAATATGAACATCAAATTTAGTACTGTCCCAACTAAATAAATGTTGACGAATCCGATTTAAAGCTTTGTAGTCACAATGATTATTTTTACTATTGTAGAGAAATATTTGTTGGAGTCTTAAGTTAATTAAAACTTAAATTATTCGACAATTTCGCTGACTGACGTCTTACAAAATTTTTTAAATCCATCTTTAAAAATATTTCAAACATAAAAAAATTCCACATGCCGTTTTAGCGTGGAATGACCTAATTTTAATAAGTTTTTTCTAAGAATTGTCTATTTGTACTATATCCTACCCCGCTAATTCGCCCCATCAACTTAATACCCATCTATTTCCGTCTGTTTACATATCTGGTTGGAAATAGGTTATCTGCTGCATTTAACGAGATATAAAACAGACCATAAATACAGTTTATTTAAAAAAATCCGACCCGGTTCAACCTGTCAAAATAAAACGGAAACCCCAAAAAGTCACCTTGGACACAAAAATGGTAAGACGATTTTAAATCGGCAGGTGGTCGCCAGGCCGTGTTTGTACTACCACCCGTAGCTTTAAAATATTATCCTCTCGTACCTGTCGTACCATTGTAGAATTTTGACAGTTATTTATGACGGACCATTAGCATTTCCCTCGATGTCATCCCTTATCACAACAAAAATCACGCACAAACCACCTTCTAGGAAGCCGAGGCTTCTACAAATAAACATTTCTTGTTGGCAGATGTGAAACACGACCGGGGCCAGAGTATGTTCTTCGTTGGTACACGTTCAACCATGAGGGGGAGTACAACTTGGTGCAGCACCATTACTGGGACGATTCGTGCTCTTCGCCGAAACTGACCGTGGTTTCGTATGGCAGGATTACGCTGAGGAATTCGCTGGTGCAGCCGGAAGCCGCGAATGGGTTGGCGAAGCCCACGAATATTACTGTCATCCCGCAGGATGGGGCCGCTGTTGATGTGTTGAATAAATTGGTGGCTAGGGAGTGCCCCGGTATGTTTTTTCTTTATTATGAAAAATTGGTCTTCGTTTAAAAACAGTGTCAAACAAATGCTGTTGTTGCGGGGACCCAGATTGGATTTGTTCGTATGACTATTATTATAAGAAAATTGATAGTCTTCACAATAAAATATTTGATGATGATTAATGAGTTAACTAGAAAAAAAAGCAGCCCTTTTATTTATATTAACTTAATTATGAATAAAAATAAGAGTGTAAATTTTTGTGTTAAGTCGCACATGTACAATTGATATTTTTTATAAACGCAAGAAATTAGTACTCTTATCATATATCTAAAATTTGCCAACAATCGGTTCAGTAGTTTTAGAAAATATCTCTCTAATAAAAATCGACACCGACGACAGACAGGCAAACATACAGAGCACAGACAGATGGAAACGGGACACCTAGTTTTTCGTGCTTTTGGGTGTCATGAAACGTCGATAAAACCTGGAAGTAGACAATCGCCGGATGCACACATACGCCGGGGAAGTAAAAATTAAATCGTAACAAAAAAAAATAAGTTAGATTGAATTTAGATTTGCCTTTTGAAATTTCCCTTTGACGTTTTTTAAAACTGTAGATATAATATTTTTTTAGAAATGTATATTTTCAATTTTGAATGTAATCCGAAAATATTACAGTGGAATTTTAACAGAATTTTGTGAATGTACAATTCTTTATAGTTTTCGAGATATTAAAAAAAAATTCGGAAAATGTGGTCCGAAACCATTAAACTTTATGTTTTTTGAGGATTTTTAGCCAACTTTTCAAAAAACTCAATGTTTTGAATACGAAAAAAAAGACAATTGGACCATTTTCCGAGTACCATTAGAAAATTAGCTAACGGAATTTTCTTGTAGATTTCTACTTATCTATTAGAAGTAGAAAAGCTTCATTTCTTCGAAAATTCGAACAATTTTTCGAAAATCGTGGTCTTGAGTGATTGTCACGTTAGTTTTCGAATTAGCTCGTCGTGATCTAAATTGCAGAACTTTTTGAGGATTTTTTGTCGATTTTTCAAAACTACCGTATAAAATTTTTAAGGTTTTTCGAACAACATTCGAAAATTACCTCATTTTCTTGTAGATTTCGATATATTGAAGTGATTTTTGTCTACATTTCGTCGAAAATTCTAACAATTTTTCCCGAATCTATAAAATGAAAAATTACAACTTTCGAAATAATTAAAAAATATCATTTTCAAATCGAATTTTTGACCACTAACTAACACTTTATATTGTTAGAATCAGCTTACCGAGATCTATAACCCAGAATTTTTAAAGGAGTTTTAGGCAACTTTAAAAGATCTGAATTTTTTAATACCCATATTAATTTTTGGACCATTTTTCCACCACTCTCCCAAAATTACCAAACGACATTTTCTTGTAAAAGTCTACTTACAGAAGTTATTTTCGGTTTCATTTCTTCTAAAAATCCAACAATTTTTACACAATCGATAAAATGAAAAATGTTAATTTTTGAGATAAAAAATGTTACTATTAAACTCAGTTTTTCCAAAATCTTAGTTTGGTACCATTAACGTGTTATGTTTTTCGAAACTGATCATCGAGATCTGTGTCCCAGAATTTTTTGTGATTTTTTCCTCAACTTTTCAAATAACTTAATTGTTCAATAACCTTGCGTATAAAGTTTTTGACCTTATTTTTAACAGTATTCTAACCAAAAGACAGTTTCTTGTAAATTTCTACTTCATTTCTTCAAAAATTCCAACAATTTTCCAGAATCGATAAAATGAAAAATGACAATTGTCGAAATACATATTAAAAAAAATATATCAAGTAGAATATTTTTAAGATTTTTGGTAAATCTTTCAAAAGTCTTGATTTTTCAATAAATATCTGAATTCTTTTGCGGTTTTTCGAGTATCATTCGAAAATTGCCTCAGTCATTTTCTGTATATTTTGACACGTAGAAGTTATTTTCGGCTTCATTTCTTCGAAAATTCCAACATTTTTTTCAGAATCAACAAAATGAAGAATGACAATTTTTGAAATTTAAAAAAAACGTAAATTCGAATTTTTCATGTTTTTCACATCAGCTTCCAGGATTTTTAATCAACTTTTCAAAAAATCTCAATATTTCAATACACCTCCATATGAATTGACGATTTTTTTTAGTTATCTTTTTGTAAATTTTGACTTGTGGAAGTCATTTTTTGCTTCATTTCTTCGATTTTTTTTTTCAAAATCGATTAAATAAAAAATGACAATTTTTGAAAAATTGAAAAAAACTTTGTCAATCTGAATTTTTTGAAAACTTTGGTCCGGAACCATTAAGACAATTTGTTTTTCGAATCAGCTTGTTGAAAATTCTTTGAAAATTTTTGGTCAATCTTTCAGAAATTTAATTTTTCAATACCCTCCTATATGAATTCTTCTACCGTTTTTCAAAGATCATTCGAAAATTATTATTCCTGAAATCATTTTCTATATTCTGACTTGTAGAAGTTGTTTTCGACTTAATTTCTCCTAAAATTCCAACGTTTTTCCCAGAATCTGCAAAAACCAATAATGATAAATGTTAAGGTTTAGAAAAAATGTTATTGACAAACCGAATTTTTCGAAAATCGTGGTACGAAATCATTAACACGTTATGTTTCTCGCATCAGCTTCCAGAATTTTGTGAGGATTTTTTATCAACTTTTCAAAAATCTCAATTTTCCAATACACCTCCATATGAATTGACAATTTTTGAGCAACTTTCGAAAATTACCAAAAGTTGTTTTCTTGCAAATTTTGACTTGTAGGAGTCATGTTTTGCTTTATTCCTTCGATTTTTTTCAAAATCGATTAAATAAAAAATGACAATTTTAGAAAAATTAAAAAAAAAGGTCATTCCGAATTTTTTGAAAATTTTGGTCCGAAACCATTAACACTTTGTTTATTGCTCGTCGAGAATTTTTTGAAATTTTTTGGTTAATCTTTCAAAAATCTCAATTTTTAAATACCCTCCTATGTGAATTTTTCTACCATTTTGCGAGGATCATTCAAAAATTATTATACCTAAAATCATTTTCTTCTATATTTGGACTTGTAGAAGTTGTTTTCGATCTAATTTCTCCCAAAATTCCAATGTTTTTTCCAGAATCTACAAAAATCAAAAATGATAAATTTCAAGATTTATAAAAAATGTTATTAACAAACCCAATTTTTCGAAAATGCTGGTCCGAAATCAATAATACGTTATGTTTTTCCGATAACTCCTAGAATTCTTTGAGGACTTATAGTCTAGTTTTCAAAAATCATAATACTTCAAACACCTGCATATGATTTTTTCTGCCGTTTTTCGAGCACCATTCAAAAATTACCTGAAGTTATTTTCTTCTATATTTTGGCTTATCGAAGTAATTTACAGTTTCATTCCTTTGAAAATTCCAACCATCCAATTTTTCCCGAATCGAATAAATGAAAAATGATAATTTTTGCGAGAATTAAAAAGTCTAATTTCCAAATCGAATTTTACCAAAAATCTTTGTCCGGTACCATTAACAGGTTATGTTTTTTGAATCAGCTCTCCACAGATTTTTTTAAGGATTTTTAGTCAATTTTTAAAAATTCTTAATTTGAAAAGACAAATTTTGGGATATTTTTAAGAAAATCATATTTTCAAACCGAATTTTTCGAAAATCTTGGCCTGGAATCAGTATCACTGTATGATTCTGAATCAAAATTTTTTGAATGCACAACTGGGCGAGTAAACCCGAAAAGTGGAAATACTTTTAAAAGAATATGTTGACTCATGACAAAATACGTAAGTGAACCCCGCTTGGACCCTTATTAGTATTTCTTGCCTATTTTCAATACTTTTTAGGTGATTGAAGATATGGAAAAAATTAATTTATTGGTTTAGAAATAAAGGCAAATAAAATAAAACAATTAGTAACAAAAAAACACTAAAAAAAAAGTAAAATATATGAAGTCAAATTCTGCAAGCCCAGTGTTGTTACTAGTAAAAAATACAGAATGTGAGAAATAAATACCTTTTGAAAAAGTTACTATTCAGAGTCGTTGCTGAAATTTGATATGTTAATTTTGAGGCTAACAGTTTTCTCTGGACATCAAAACGTTCTTGCATGCTTATTATTAATTAACGTCTAATAAATTGCGAAAATCGATATTTTTTCAACACACTTATCTCCAACAGATCATCTTTAAGTAGCGATAACTTTTTTATTTAATAAAGTGAACTGAATATGTGTTCATCAAGTAGCTCATGTATCCGTTCATAGAATATACTGATGAAATTTCGATACTTCATTATTGTACAAACTGTATATTTTGTTAGCAAGTTTCAATAACACAGCTGTTAAATTTTACGTAACAATTGATGCAATTATCTATTTTTTGTATGCAAGTTTTTTGACAACTTTTCCTTGTTGTGTAATGTCTGGCAGATGCATCTCATGTTTTTATAATTCACTCTCATTCGATTTAGATAGTCAGTGCTTGAATTATTTTTCTATTGACATATATATTTTTTTTAGGTCAGTACTGGAAGTCCTGGAAACGCGGCGAAGAACACCTCGTCTACGACAACCGCCAAGACCGCCGTGGCACTTTCAACCTCTGGTCGCACTCATACCAACCCATCACCAACCACCAACCCATCCACAGACCCCACCTCGGCCAAACCGCAGGCGACATCTCCTGCCTAGGTTCCCTTAAATGGGCCTTCAACGAACTCAAACTCCTCAAAATCCAGTTCAGACCCATCTACGAAACCCACAAGCACCCACGCCACGTCGAAATGGAACTTCTTCTAGGAGACATCCACACGAACAAACGCCGTCGCGAATTCTACTCTCCCACGAGCTTTCAAGTGCCGCTTCTGAGACACACCAAAGGAGAAAACTTCACACTACACAAGCACCAGTTCATGGTGATCAACTCCAACACCCTATCAGCTAACTTCATGACCAACGTGAAAACGCCCCCTCATTTAATCGAAAAGCCCCATCTCCCGCCGTACATTTGGGGAGAGTGGACTTCGTCGCGTTGCGAGAGCAGACCTCTTGACGTCTACCTCATGAGGCATTTTTCGTTCTACGAGGATGATTTACAGTGGGTTGGAGAGCACAAGTTCTTCTCGGATCCGTTCTGTACTTATCCTAAGTTTATAGTGACTGCTGCTGGGCACTTTACCATTGTTGGTGATAGTCATGCCATGAAAGGGGTGTCAGACGTAGATTTTCAGATTGAGAGGGCTTCTTTGACAGCGCTTGATCAACGTGTGATTACTGAAATGCGTTTGCCGGGGTTTTGCGGGATTGGCCAGTGGAAAGTGAACGTTCCCAAGGAGCTGGCGACTACCAAGGGGTGTTTGTACTTAGGGATAAGTATTCCATCTACTAGGTACGACATTCTTAAACTTGAAATGGACTACAAAGGGTCGTGGTTGTTGTTTTTGGGGCAAGCGGACACTAGTAATTTTCCAAATAGTGAAAATGAAAGGCCTACAGCTTTTCAACTACCGTTGATGAAGTGTGGCCAGAAAATTACATTTACGGAAAATTTGAGGGAAAGGTTAGAAGGTAGATTCTATTTTGGGGATGCAAGAAGAATTCAAAGTAGTATCTTCGTTTTGTTGCCGATGGTGCTGTTGCTTTATCTGGGGAGATAATAATGAGACACTTTGTATATAGTGTTTTTTTATACTGTATATTTTTTGTACATTGTATCATATGCTAATTTATTATTTTTTTACATATCTAGATTAGTGTATACGTTATAGTTATTATAATTATGGTATTTTTCGAAAAGGGACAATATTACCAGTGATAATTAAAATGACATTTGGCTCTAAAGCCTGAACGTGTATACGCATTTTAAGATATTTTTGCAAAGTTTATTAAACGGTTATATATTTTAATATAGTTGAAAACATGTATATATATTTTATTGTACGATATTAATAAATTTTATTACGCATACCCACCAATGTTTTATTTCATTTTTCATTTTCATGAAAGTTTAAATCATTTTAAAACATTTTCAAAAAAAAAAATCACTCCATGAAAGGTAAGTATGCAACCAATTTTACACGTTTAAAATAGAAATAGAATTCGATAATTAGAAAACAGGAAATAAAAAACCAGGAAAGAAATAATAAAGTCACATCCCTATTTTTAGTACAATGTAAATATTCTATTCAATCATAATAACTTATAATCAACTAATCTTAAAAAAAGTTATAGTGTGTTTATAACAATTAAAATTAATTACGCCACACTCTGTCAATAATTTCAAACAACAAATAATTTATATTATGCTAAATTATGCGTTAATTCAACTTACGGATTAAATTAAAAATGTATTCACTGATTACATCGTCATGGACCGGAAGTAAACCCCACATTCTATAAATCAAAATAATTCGGGAATAAGTGTTCAGATTCAAGCTGTGAGAAAATAATTCTGATGTATGAAAATAGTACATTAGTACAAGACAGTATAAACATAAAATACTCCTGACAGTCCTGACATTAATTTAACACATGATAATTTCCAAGGTCCTTTCTTTTAAAACGGATCAACGTTTATTAAATGTCATACTGTGTCCGATCTCGAGTGAAAAGCTAATTGTGGATAATGTAATAACTTAAGTAAAACCTTCTAAAACTTTTAGAAATTATTGTCATAAAAAATAAGTTGAACCTGTATAAGAGAATTTCAGTCATGTGTTTATGTGGACATCTACATTGTAATGGAACCATAAGCAGTTAAAAATCTTAATATGAACGGTGAATTTACAAACAATATAGCCAAAATTATACGTGTCGAGGAGATAGTCAAAGTTTACATATTTTGGAGTAGAAAATCATTAATTAATTGCTGTTACACCAATTCCGCTTTATATTAGCAGAATATAATTAACTTCTGTAAAAATTTTCGGCTACAATCAAATTTTTGTTATGTTGAGACATATCTACAAATTTCAGTAATTTTGGTTCGTTTACGATCTTTGAAATTTGAGCTACAAATATTTTGTAATTTATTAGCTTTTAAATGAAACCAAGAACTTTAATTTGAGAGAAATTTCTGTTTGTAATTGTCTATGTACAAAAATACACGTGTGTAAATATTGCAAAAATTGCAACTTGCTTGTAATTCCATAGGTAATTGTGACGTCAAAATCACCTAGCAGTTATTTAATCCGGCGAATTTAACTCGTGTCCGTGTCTGAACAATACGATATAAATCATTCTATTATTTACAATAAAATCAGGCAATTTCGCTGGCACCTTGTGTAATAAAGTATTAATAATTAATACATCAATAGTACCAAGAAAATAGTACTACTGAAAATTTTCTAAAACCAAAAATAGTTATGTCTTTCTAAATAAACAAAACAAAGTTTCCCTTTCGAAAAACTAGTTATCAATGTCCTGGTTTTTTTCCACCATCCAGAAATAACCAGACACCAGTTGGTTTTATTGCAACGTAATATTTATATTGGAATCACCACTTACTCCACGTCACATAAATCATTTTAATCCCCCTCGGCACAATTGTATTTATACAAAATCTTCGTCACAATGATAATCAGTTAATGAACTTCCTTACTAAATTTAGTAGTCTACTGCACTATGGACCTCGTAAATTCCACAAGTACTACTGTTATAGATGCAGTTGCCAAACTTTCAAAAGTCGGTTTTTCCTGGTACGACTACATCCTTTTTTCCGTGATGCTACTATTTAGTGCCATCATTGGAATCTACTTTGGATGTTTCGGGACCAAGCAATCCACGGCCAATGAGTACCTTATGGGAGGAAAAACTATGAAGGTTATTCCTATTGCCATCTCTCTAGTGGCCAGGTACTATATTTACTAACGAATTATCTAAACACAAACATAAATATTTTTGTTTTAGTCATACGTCTGGCATTACTCTTCTAGCACTACCAGCTGATGTGTACCGCTATGGAGCTGGATACTGGCTAGGAGGAATCTCCATGGCCATTCTTTGCGTCATCACTGTTTACGTATACTTACCCGTGTTTTATAATTTAGAACTGATTAGTACGTACGAGTACTTGGAACGAAGATTTGATAACAAAGCCAGACAATTCGCCTCTTTTCTGTATGCACTTGGTGTGTTTCTTTATTTGCCCATTGTCGTCTACATTCCAGCTTTGGCCTTCTCGGCTGGTAAGTTTTCTAATTTAGTTATAGCCAAAGTTTTATTTAGATTTTCTAGCTACTGGAGTCAATGTACATTTGATCACTCCTCTCGTCTGCAGTGTGTGTATATTCTACACCACAATAGGAGGTTTAAAAGCGGTAGTATGGACAGACACTTTACAATTTACTGTGACAGTCGGAGCCATCGCAACTGTGTTCATGTTGGGAGTTAAATCAGCTGGTGGTTTTACATTTGTGTGGAATAAAGCGATCGAGGGTCATAGACTGGACATTTTTGAGTAAGCAGGTGTTAGTTGGTGTCTGCTTTATTCTAAAGTGATTTCAGTTTTGACCTCGACCCCACCAAACGTGACACGTTTTGGATTGTTGTCATCGGTTTAACGTTCCACTGGTTGGCCCAAATCAGTGTCCACCAAAGCTGCGTCCAAAAATTTCTTTCAGTACCTACATTGAAAGACTCCATGATGTAAGTACCTGTAGTATAAAATCCACAACTAACCGAAAATAGGTCTGTTGTTTACTACACTGTTGGAATGACGGTGATGAAGACTGCTAGTGTGTTGACTGGGTTCGTTATGTACACTAAGTACTCCGCCTGTGATCCTTTCACAACAAAGCAAGTGACAAGGAACGACCAACTCTTACCCTACTACGTTCTAGACGTTGCCAAAAATATCCCAGGTCTGTCTGGACTCTTCATAGCCGGAGTTTTCAGCGCAGCTTTAAGGTAATAGTTTGTCAAGGTACCACTCAAATAACAATAACAATTTTAGTACTCTTTCGGCAAATCTTAATTGTTTAGCTGGAACCATTTACGAGGACTTTGTTAGTAAAATAGTCACGAAAAATATCTCCCCAAAAACATCTAGCAACATTTTGAAAGTTATTGTAATACTGACTGGGATCTTATGTACGGCTCTAGTTTTTGCAATTGAACACATGGGAGGTTTGTTAACGCTGTCTATTAGTTTTCATGCGGTGACGCAAGGTCCCATGTTGGCAATGTTCACACTTGGCATGCTTTTCCCAAAAGCAAATTCTAAGGTGAGTATTTTGGTGAAAATGATCTGGTTTGTAAAAATTTTGGTTTAGGGTGCCCTGTATGGTGGAATCGGTGGTCTACTATTTCTGGCGTCGATTTCTTTTCCTGCCAAGTACTTCGAAATGCAAGGGTTGTTTAAATATGCACCCAAACCGCTTTCAGTAGATGGTTGCAGTTTTATGAATCACACAAATTTTGTGTTCAACGCTACTGTATTTAATACTACAAGAAATTATATGTCATTGAAGTGAGTACCAACTGTCGACTTAATCAACAGTGTTTTTGAAATTGGTTTCTAGGACTGCATCGGCACCATTCCAAGTACCATACATCTTTAGAATTTCGCATTACTACTACAGTTTAATGGGATGTACAGTTAGTATAGTTTTGGGACTAATAATTAGCTACATGACAAACAAAGAGGACCATCCTGTCGACAGATCTCTCTTAAGTCCTGTGATTTATCGCTTTCTGCCTAAAGATTCAAAGATTAATGGTACCCTTAGATACAGCAGTGTGGAAAAGGAACTGCAAGTTGATCCAATTTCGACGAAACCCAAAGAAAATGGACTTGAAACTATTGACACAACTACCTAATTTGCGTTTATGTTTATTTTTATCTAACTAATTTAACTAAAACACCTAAAGATGGAACAAATAGGTCTTACTAGATGGAAATTAAATTTTCTTGGGTTTTTAAGAACAGTTACTATAGGCGAGTTATCAGTATTTCTCCCCTGTGTATAATTTTCAAATGGGAACAAGGAACGCTTAAAGAATAAGTTGAAACTACAATCGCGGTTAGTTTATCAATGTGAAGAATGTAATATTTTTTCATTTGTTGTACGGATGTCTTTAGTCAATTTTTAAGAGTACCTGAAAATGTAGATACTATGAGTTTTATGTATTATCTTGTATTTACCTCTGAACTATAATAAACTTCACAATTAATTGCGTAGCATATTTATTTAATTCTTTTTGAATTTTATAAAAGCTTTCGCTTTTTCTGTAAAAATATCACATTCTAATCTTTCTTACATGTACTTGTGGTTTATAAATCCGCCTTAAGTTTTTTCCCTTGGCATCCAGATTTTTTTACACTGTAACTGGTATTATCCATATATTTTTAGTTTATAGGGATTATCATTAAAAAATAAAATTTCCCAAACTCAAATTTCATAAAAGGCGAAATCTGTTTTTGTACTGTACTTCTAGGGCGAGAGAAGTTCTGTCTAAATAACCTTCCGCCATGTTTTTTGGAATATTATATTACGTATATGTTCGATCGTATGTTGTTAAGAAGGCTCTGGAAGAACTCGAATGCTTAAAAAATCTCTGAACCAAATTTTTGAAAATATTAAACTTCAGAGTTGAAGTAATTCAATAGGCTTTAAATGAATTTAATTGAAAATCTAAAATTCCAACAAAAATTGTCAAAATGACTCTGTCAACATCAAAAAAACTTCCCCGGTTCTATTCTGTCGTGGGTCGCTTTTTTTCTTACATTATGACCAGCTTTATCTATATTTTTGAACACACATGATTATCACAAAGTACTTAAATAAAAATAAAATTTTATCATTTTTCGAAAAAATTGGACTTCAAGAGGAAGGGAAGTTCTCTGTAATAACATAAGATCAATTTTTTTAGAAGATATGTAGTGATACGTTTTTTGTTAGTGTTTTACTGTCTGTTAAAGTTTTAGGAACTACATTTGTAACAAATTCCCAGCAAACAAATTACCAATGGACCAAAATAGAAACTATTTTTCATTGCAGTTAAAAATCTTTTTAAATCTATTGTCTCAAAATTATTAGCAATAATCTTTTGGTAACGACATTTATATTACTTCAAGCCAGAATTTTAACAGTTATGGTAATAATTTTAGAAATTTTGACGTTAGGTAAAAATTAACGTAACATCACATTTTGGCACGGTGTTAGTTAATATTTTAACATGTTCAAAACGGTTTTTGATTCAGCTTCAAAGCATAAGGGTTTTACATAATTTAATTTAAACCTTTAAAACATTCTTAATTAACACGTATAATTCAAAATAAAAAAAAATCACGCTAAACTCAAAACGAAAATAAACTGAAAATATACACAATTTTGAAATCACATTACTCAAGGTTTATCCTGTGAAAAAAAATGATGGGCCAATATGATTTAATTGTAAAATATTAGTGCTTATACCTACAATAAAAATTGCATTCTTCTTAACTCCGTAATAAATCCACCAAAGCTGTATTTCGCTTCTTATTTAATTTGCGTCTGTGTCTAACAATACCATCCATAAATCATTTGATATTTACTATAAACGTACTACAGAGTTTGTACTTAATTGTGCAATTTTGTTAACCGGAATCGAGAAAACGTATTTTTTATGCATTTCAAGTAAACAACACATTAGTTTTCAAACTAATAAATAGTGATTAACAATGATCATTTCCTGAAATTGTTACAAAATTTATAGAGAAAACAACCCAAGACAAATCTGCTTTATCACACTTATCGTCATGTTTATACAAGTACCAACAATACCTATGTAAATTTAATTAATCCATTTAAGCAAAACCGTTTTATATAAAATTCTGCTCGCACTTTCATTCCACATGTGCTACTAGCAAATCTGACGTTTTTACCATGGACGTGACAACATCTACACCCGTGGCAACAGCAGTACTTAGTGCTGTTGCCAATCTTACCAAAGTTACATTTTCCTGGTACGACTACATTCTGTTTTCGGTGATGTTACTTCTTAGTGCCATTATTGGAATCTACTTCGGTTGCTTTGGTAGTAAGCAATCAACAGCCAACGAGTACCTCATGGGTGGAAAAACCATGAAGGTTATTCCTATTGCCATCTCTCTAGTAGCAAGGTAAGCCCAAAATTCGACTTACCAAATTTAAAAAAATATATTTTAGTCACACTTCTGGAATCACTCTTTTAGCGTTACCAGCCGATGTCTATCGGTATGGTGCTGCATATTGGCTAGGAGGAATCTCTATGGCGATTCTTTGCGTCGTCACTATTTACGTGTACTTACCTGTATTTTTCAATTTACAACTAATCAGTACTTACGAGTACCTGGAGAGACGGTTTGACAACAGAACAAGACTGTTTGCTTCTTTTCTATACGCCGTATCTGTTTTTCTCTATTTACCAATAGTAGTTTACATTCCTGCTTTAGCTTTCTCAGCTGGTACGTATCCAAACACTTGTGCAAACTTTACTCAAATCAATTTTTAGCTACTGGCCTCAACGTCCATTTTATAACACCTCTAGTTTGTGGTATATGCATTTTTTACACAACCATCGGTGGTTTGAAGGCAGTAGTATGGACCGACACACTTCAATTCTCTGTAACAATTGGTGCTATAGCAACTGTTTTTGTGTTAGGTGTTAAATCAGCTGGTGGCTTCAGCCACGTTTGGAATAAAGCACTGGAAGGTCACAGAATTGATCTCTTTGAGTGAGTTACAAACAATAAAAATTTTGGTCTTTTAGTAATATTGTTGTAGTTTCGATCTTGACCCAACGAAACGTGAAAGCTTTTGGATTGTTGTTATTGGTTTGACAGTCCATTGGTTAGCTCAGGTCGCGATTCATCAAAGTTGCGTCCAAAAATTTTTAGCAATATCTACAATACGACAATCTAATATGTACGCTACTAGGTTAAGTAAAATTTCAAGTAAAGCACTATGTTGACAGGTCTGTAATTTTCTTTACTACTGGAATGACACTGATGAAGACTGCAAGCGTTCTAACGGGTTTCGTCATGTATGCCAAGTACTCCGACTGTGATCCTTTCACCACCAAACAAGTCACCAGAAACGACCAGTTATTACCATACTATGTTATGGATGTCGCTAGAAATATACCAGGCCTTTCAGGTATTTTTATAGCAGGAGTGTTTAGTGCAGCGTTGAGGTACAAAGTGACAGATTTATGAGGCCAGGCTTGCAGTGAAAATGTTTTAGTACCCTTTCAGCTACTCTGAATTGTCTAGCTGGAACGATATACGAAGACTTTGTCAGCAGATTCGTCAAGAAAAATATTTCCCAAAAATCTGTTAGCAACATTCTGAAAATTATTGTAGTGATAACTGGAGTGCTATGTACCGCTCTAGTTTTTGCCATTGAACATATGGGAGGTTTGTTAAAACTGTCGATTAGTTTTAATGCTGTGACGCAAGGGCCTTTGTTAGCAATGTTTACACTAGGGATGCTTTTCCCTAGAGCGAACTCCAAAGTGAGTGGTTAATTTTTAGATTGGAGAACATGAATGAGATTTTAATTCTAGGGTGCACTCTATGGAGGTATCGGGGGTCTTATCTTACTCTCTGCTCTAGTTTTTCCTGCCAAATATTTTGAAATGTTGGGACTTTTCAAGTATCCCCCAAAACCACTTTCAACTGATGGTTGTGATTTTCTGAATACTACTAGTTTAGTGTTGAACACGACACTTGCCGAAACTACTACTCCTATAGACAGTTTTGTAACTGAATCTTTCACGTGAGTACAATTTAACTAATAGTGCAAGTTTGTTTTGAGATTGTTTTTTCTAGGAACGAGTCGGTACCATTTCAAGTACCTTTTATATTCAGAATCTCTTACTACTATTACACTTTAATAGGTTGTGCTATGAGTATGATAATAGGAATAATTATTAGTTACATGACAAATAAGGACCAGTGTCCTGTGGATAAAGCTCTTTTGAGTCCTGTAATTTATTCGTTCTTGCCAGAAGATTCCAAAAAGAATGGTGCCATAGTGTACACCAGTGTCGAAAAAGCTCTGCACACGTTAAGTCCTAGAACAGAAAAGGAAAACGCCACTGTTACAAATTGAATTATTAAGTACATATTTGTAATTTATATAATATATTTTGAAATGCTTACACCGTTTTGACTTACAAAAATTTCTCGTATGAAAAAAAATCAACACTGAGATAATGATGTTTAAAATTTTACGAAATTGAAAATGCCCACGAGCCATCAGACTGGAAGTCGCATTATTATAGAAGTTCAATTAAAATGAAATTTCTAATACGGCGCTAAAGTGCCACGTGACCGACTCAACGCCAATCAAACTTGGGCAAACGCCTCGTTAAATGCGTGATTAACTTAATCTTAGTTAAAATATTGCGACGCCTATGGGTTTATCGAGGTTTTTCTAGTATGTGCGGCGGTGATGGGTGACTCATCATTGGTGACGGCGGCCATGCGGCGTTCGCATAAAGACAAGTCTGGAGCAGGTTACCGGAAGTCTCGATTGCAGCGTCCAGAATCCAGAGGAATGTATGACTTTTAACAGAGGCCACCTTCGGGAACAGATTATTCAGTCGAGTCGAGTCGAGTCCAGAGAATGTTGAGCAGAGCCAGTCAAGTTGCGCCGAAATTATTTTGTACATAATCGCTGTGTAACTAGACGTGTAAATTCGAGTTACTAAGAAATACATTGTTGAGTTTGACCCACACTGATTTTAATAACCGATCGTCACAACAATATTACTGTTAGAAATAGAACACAAAAATAAACGACTATATTGTAGTAAACTCTGTAGAGTAGTGTAACTATTGGACTGCTTTCAGCTGCAAAACCACTCATAGATTTTTGATTCTGTCAAGTTATTAGTATTGGAGACTCAGTTTCCGTTGATTCCATATCTCAAATTAAACAGTACGTTCTTGGTTTTAAGTTGTTTATAATAATAGTTGCACCGATACTTTTATCTTCTTTATAAGGGGTATACATTTGTCATATAGGGGTTAGAAAAAGAAGAAAAAATAACAATTTTTTTTTATTTTTCCAAGAAGTGTTAAGTGTTACGTTATCTTTTCGTTCCTCGCAATGCCAACTTAAAAGGCCTTTAAACACGATAAAGCTATCATTTTAGTACACCATTCATATTTAGTACCTTTTATCACAAAATATATTTCCATTTTTACTTCTGTGCGCACTTCGTAGAGAAGGCGACATTAGAGCTTCTAGAAATCAGTTGTATGGTGTTTTATACTTTTCAATTCAGTTAATCAGTTCTTATAATCGTACTCGTATTTGTTGCAATTGTTCACAAGGCATAACTGAGATGTAATCGATAATAATCTCTCAAATACTCCTGGTAATTAATACACAAAACTTCTATACAATAGTCAATAAATGTATTTAAACATTAAACATCTGCATTATTTTAGATCAGAAGAAACACCATGAATAGCTCAATGACTCTGCAAAATAGTACGAGAATAACTCTCGAATGGTACGATTACACAATCTTTAGCATCATGTTTGCTGTTAGTACCTCAGCTGGAATCTACTATGGATGCTTAGGAAAGAAACAAAAAACTATAAGCGGATATTTATTAGGAAATAAGAGAATAAATGCATTACCGATTGCACTTTCTGTAGCTGTGGGGTAACACTATTCTGTTAAACCTTAGTTATAAAAAAAACTTTGTGCAGACACTTTTCAGCCATAACTCTAATGGTGGCACCTGCTGATGTTTACAAATATGGAGCGTTCCAGTGGCTTGGTTGCATTTCCATGGTCTTATTGGTTATATTATCTGTTTATATTTACTTCCCCGTGTTTTTCAACCTTCAACTAACAAGTGCATACGAGTACTTGGAAAGAAGATTCGATAAAAAGACCAAGTTATTAGCTTCCATTTTATATCTGTTATGTGAATTTATTTTTCTCGCTGTGGCTGTTTATACACCGTCGTTGGCACTATCAACCTGTAAGTTTTCGTTTCTCTGCATTTCAATTTTGACTTATTTAGTCTGTAGCCACTGGAATTCACGTTCATTTAATATCTTCTACAACATGTGCTATATGTGTTTTTTATACTGCAATCGGAGGACTACAAACAGTGGTTTGGACAGATCTTTTCCAATTTGGTGTAATTATAGTATCAATGCTCACAGTGTCTATTATTGGTACTATTTCAAGTGGAGGTTTCATATCAGTATGGGAGAACGCTTTAAAAGGCGACAGACTTAATATATTTGAGTAAGTATTGAGAAAATGTTTTCAAGGTGTTTTTTTTTTGTTCTAGTTTTGATCCAAATCCAACGAAACGAGACAGTTTCTGGACTTATTTCTTTGGATATACAGCTCATTTTACTAACTACATCAGTCTTACCCAATCCGGATTACAGAAATTTTTAGCTCTACCAACGTTTCGTGAAAGTGTGTGGTATGTACTTATTATTGTCCCGACTATAGTTGAAACTGCCACTACAGGTCTGTGATTTATGTGGCTATTTCCCTAAGCATCGTATATACTTTCATTGTCTTCATTGGTCTTCTCATGTATGCACAATATTCAAAATGTGATCCCTTTACCAGAAAAAAAATCCAAAGGCATGAACAGATCTTACCTTATTATATTATGGATGTAGCTGGACACGTACCCGGTGTTTCGGGTTTTTTCTTAGTGGCTTTATTTTGTGCTTCATTGAGGTAGGACCCAATACCACGTAGACGTTTATTTTGATAACCAACAATTAATTTCAGTACAATATCGTCTAGTTTAAATGGGATAGCTGGAGTAATTTACAAAGATTTCTTGTATAAATTTTTAAATGAAAATATTAAGGAAAAAACTGTGACAAATATTTTGAAATTGATTGTAGCACTTTGTGGCATTGCGATCATAGGTTTGGTTTTAATAATGCAGCATTTGGGAGACATTATTCCGTTGGCTACTAGTATTGCAGCAATGTCACAAGGACCATCTATGGGCATGTTCACTTTAGGCGTTCTGTTTCCAAAAGCAAATGCTGAAGTAAAATGTCGGTTTAAATTCAGCAGTATGACAGTGCTTATGTTTTAGGGTGCGTTTTATGGAGCTATTGGTGGTTTCATTTTCACAGCAAGTATCGGCATGCCTTTGAAATTTTACAATTTAGAGAAAACGTTTGCCTACCCATCAAAATCTCTCTCAGTTGAAAATTGCAGCGCTTCAAATCAAACTGCAGAATTTGAATTTCAGCACATAAATCATTCTCTTGTACAGTCTAGTACTTCTTCACCGTATTTTGCTAGTAAAAGAAAACGAACAGAGGAGTAGGTTCACAATAATTTGCCTATATTTTTTTAATTATATTTTTGTAGAAAACTGCCACCTTTTATGTTTCGCATTTCGCACTTTTACCACACATTTCTTGGTGCGCTTGTTACAGTAATGTTAGGACTGGTAATCAGTTACTTCACAAATAAGGGTGATAGTATAACTGACAAAACATTTTTGACTCCATTTGTTCACAAGTTTGTACCACACAAGTTAGATAAGCGAGAAATGCAAAATCTCGTAAAGCATACTCGTAATAAATAATAAAAATAGGATGAATAAGTAATCAAATACTTCCAATAATTTAAAATAAAATTCTATTTAGAAATGATAACCACTATTAGAAAAACTTGTACCCTACCAGACAGAAGCAAGAATAAAAAATTGGGCGAAACATTATGAAATTTGATTTTCCGACCGTAAGCTAAGGAAGTACTGTAATATCCATCGTATTTAAATATCTGTAGTACTTTAGACAAAGAAGAAACACCATGAATAACTCTACTCTGCAAAATAGTACAGAAAGAAGTCTCGAATGGTACGATTACGCAGTCTTTAGCATCATACTTGTTATCAGTACCTTAGCTGGAATCTACTATGGATGCTGGGGAACCAAACAAAAAACCATAAGTGGTTACTTATTAGGAAATAAAAAGATGACTGCATTGCCGATTGCACTTTCTGTAGCCGTGGGGTAACATCATTCTAATTAACCAAAACCTTAAATAAAGAAACTCTCTGTGCAGACATTTTACAGCCGTAACTGTAATGGTAATGCCTGCTGATGTTTATAAATATGGAGCGTTCCAGTGGTTTGCTTGTATTTCTATGTTCTTATTGGTTATATTATCTGTTTATATTTACTTCCCCGTATTTTTCAACCTTCAACTAACAAGTGCATATGAGTACTTGGAAAGAAGATTCGACAAAAAGACCAAGTTTTTAGCATCCACATTGTATCTGGTGTGCGAACTTATTTTTCTCGCTGTAGCTGCTTATACACCATCGTTGGCACTTTCAATCTGTAAGTTTTCGTTTCTTCGCGTTTCACTATTGACTAATTTAGTTTGTAGCTACTGGAATTAACGTGCATTTAATATCTTCTACAATTTGTGCTATATGTGTGTTTTATACTGCAATCGGAGGATTGAAAACAGTGGTTTGGACGGATTTTTTTCAGTTTGGTGTAATTATAGTAACGCTGCTAATAGTATCTGTTGTTGGTAGTATTTCAAGTGGAGGTTTCTTATCAATATGGAAACAAGCTTTAAAAGGCGACAGACTTAATATATTTGAGTAAGTAGTGAAAAAAAATTGTCAAAGTATTTTATTTTGTTCCAGTTTGGATCCGAATCCAACAAAACGAGACAGTTTTTGGGGTTATTTGTTTGGATTTACTGCCCACTATACTAACTACGTCAGTCTTACCCAATCTGGATTACAGAAATTTTTAGCTCTACCAACGTTTCGTGAAAGTGTGTGGTATGTAGATATTATTGTAGCGACTATAGTTGAAAGTGGTACTGCAGGTCTGTGATTTATGTGGGTATTTGTCTAAGCATCGTATATACTTTCATTGTTTTCATTGGTCTCCTGATGTATGCAAAATATTCAAAATGTGATCCTTTTCTCAGCAGAAAAATCCAAAGGCATGAACAGATGGTACCTTATTATATTATGAATGTAGCTGGACATGTACCTGGTATTTCAGGTTGTTTCTTGGTGGCTTTATTTTGTGCTTCATTGAGGTAGTACCCAATGATGCTTATTTTGATAACCAATCGTTACGTTTCAGTACAATATCGTCAAGTTTAAACGCTATAGCTGGCGTATTTTACAAAGATTTCTTGTATAGATTTTTAAGTAAAAATATTAAGGAAAAAACTGTGACAAATATTTTGAAATTGATTGTCGCACTTTGTGGCATTGCAATCATAGGTTTGGTTTCAATAATGCAGCATTTGGGAGACATTGCTCCATTGGCTGCTAGTATTGCAGCAATGTCACATGGACCCTCCATGGGCATGTTCACCTTAGGCGTTCTGTTTCCAAAAGCAAACGCTGAAGTAAAATGTCGATTTAAATTTCATTCAATGACAAGATTTATTTTTTAGGGTGCATTTTATGGAGCTATTGGTGGTTTCATTTTCACAGCAAGTATCGCCATACCTTTAAAGTTTTACAATTTAGAGAAAACGTTTGCCTACCCATCAAAACCTCTCTCAGTTGAAAGTTGCAGTGTTTCAAATCAAACGACAGAATTTGATTTTCAACAGTTAAATAATTCTCTTGTGCATTCTAGTACTTCTTCATCGTATTTGGCCCCTAAAAGTAAACCAATAGAAAAGTTGGTTTACAATAATTTAGCTATATTTTATTGTTTTAATTATATTTTTGTAGAAAACTGCCACCTTTTATGTTTCGCATTACGCACTTGTACCATACTTTTTTTGGTGCACTTGTTACAGTAATGTTGGGACTGGTAATCAGTTACTTTACAAATAAGGGTGACAGTATAACTGACAAAAGATTTTTGACTCCATTTGTTCACAGGTTTGTACCAGATAAGTCAGATAAGAGAGAAATGCAAAATCTCGTAAAGCATAATAAATAGTAAAATCAATGTTAGTGTAAAACATAGTTATAAGTTGTTTGTGTTAGAAATAGGATGAATAAGTAATGAAATACTTTCAATAATTTAAAATAAAATTTTATTTCGAAATGAATTGTTATCAATTTTGTGTGTATATATTAGGAATATCGTGTAGATAGTAAAACTCTAACTAAAATTTGTTTGTAATTTTTTCTTTCAAACATTGAACATTTTCACCCACAGCGTTTCAAATTTTTAGAATTTTGTCGTCGTCAACTGAACCGTCTTTTATTTTTAGAATATTATTTTATTGTTATTGTTTAATGGGTATTCTTATTACTTTATTTTAGATAGAAAACTTATCATTCAAAAGTATGACTATCTTTTAGGTAGGATCTAGTATAATTTTGCGATGGCGTGTTCAGATTTGGAGGCAGGATGAAGAGAAAAATTTTGATTAGTAATGTAACATGTTTATGATACCCTTAAAGTGGTTGCAAGATCATACAGCTGTCCGTTTCTGTATTTACTAAATTTTCGAATTTTAAAGCTAATCCAAAATTCCATCCAAGATACATGTCTGATGACGATGTTGTCAATAGAAGAATAGATGTAAAATGGCCGCCTACTTTCTATTTTTTTCATATTCTAGGAGCTATAAAACGTCGAGAAAAAATGAAATTAGTTATTAAGTGAACCCTGTACAAAGTTTTATAGCTTTCATAAATCAACAGTTTTATTTCTTAGTAACTCCAAATTACACGACTAACTCTATAGCGATTATGTACAGAATAATTCCGACTCGACTGGAATGGATTTGACTAGACTTCTCCCATTGTATGAACTACATTAACTGCTCCCGACGGTGGTTCCCATTTAAACAGCCGCGCGGTGCTTCTCGAAGATCTCCGTCACAGCTTCTAGGCTTATTCTCGAACACCCGTCGCGACATCCGCTTCCAAGTTTTTCGTCGGCCGCCGTCGCCGACAATGACTTATGATCGCCATACATACTAGAACCCATAGGCGTCGTACCGAGGCAGCGTATGGGTTTCTTTCGTAACAATACTAAATCAAAAAAGATATCAAGCATTTTACACTACCACTTTGATAAATAATGCATCCACATGAATTCTACTAAACAAACACATAGATTTAGATACCACAGCATAACATATTCAACGTGACTTAAAAAATATCAATAACATAATGGGATCCCTGCTAAAAACTAAGTAACTTTTACTAAATAACAAGCTATAAATCATTTCTAAATTCTGAGAATATGAAAACTTATACCATGCACATCTCTAAACAGGTGAATTAATAATTTGTTTAACCCTAAATTTAACCAATAATTTTTAAATTTCAACTTTCTATAGATGCAACCAATAACGAGGTTAAGATCAAACGACGCAACGTTTACCACCGCAACAGCACCGTCATCAGCTTTATAAAGATAGCGGTAGCAGAACAAAAGAAAACACAAGAAACTGGGACGCAATATATTTTCATATCTAATATAACCATTAGCTTAGAAGCAAGTAAATATGTAATTTTGTATAAAAAAAGTGAGGTTGTTTTGAATAAATCAGAAGCTTTATTGGCTTTTTACTCACTCTACGCCACAATTGTTCACACTAAAACATTGACGAACTCGAATCAATAATAATTATTTTTATATATTACGTAAATTTAGTAAACCCATCCATATAGTCTATATTCTGACTACTATGTCTGCGACTTAATTTTTGTCATCACTCATCACTTTATAACCATTTAGCAGAGAAAAATGCTTCACTTTTTCTTCATTTTCTCTGTCACATATTTAGATATGGTCTGTACTAATTTATTTAAAGAATCAAGAAAAACTTTTTTCCAGCAACAGCTCCAAAAATATTCAATTCTGTCTACAAAAAACTCTGAACGTACATCGTGCAGTTACATTAATTTCGACTTGGAATGCAGCATGGATGTTCTCACCAACTTTCTAAAGCAGAATAATTGTCCTTCGATAATTGTGGACGAAAATTTTATCGACACAGACAACGAAGTAATCAAAAGCAAAGAAACTTTTATTTTTATAAGTAACATAACTGGAGTCCACGAAACGATCGATCAAATCCGCAGTTACACGTTTTGAAGTTCAAGAAGCCATAACCACTTTATAATATGCAGTTCCGTAGACAACAGAAATTTTAAACCGAATCATTAATTTCGTAGTTGTGTTTGTGTTTGACTTTCTCCAAATTTTTTCGTTCAACCCTTTCAAAAACGAAATGTTGAATTTAAGCCACAAACGAAGAAATTTTTTCCCAAACAAAGTTAAAAATTTGTATGGGCAGCAACTACGCGTGTCTCTATGGGCTGACTGGCCCTTGATTGCACACGAAAATGGTAAATGGTCTGGGGAAGACTACGAGACGTTGCAGCTGGTGATGGAGATGGTTAATAAATAAATAAATAAATAAATTTATTGCCCAACAGACTTTATCCATTTATAGGACAATATATAGGTAAAGTAAAATAAGATACAGCTCGAGGATATACAGAATTAAAACAAAAACTAATAATTAACACAAAGAACAACAATGTAAATTTAAACAGCGCAAATGGTAAACATTACATTAAGGTTAAATAACTAACTAATATGGAATCTGGCAATGACAAGAAAAATTAAATTATGTTATCTTATATCGTAAATTATTATCAATATATTTTAATATTTTATTCAAACTGTCAAAGTGTAAGTCACAATTATGACAAAGAGTGTTAAACTTATGTTGCATATTAGTTAACGGAGCTTTGGAGCCCAAATTAGTTCTGACACGTTCTATGCTAAACGTTAGTGGATACCTAGATTGAGGTCTTGGTACATGAAAACGGATTTGTGAAAATAGGTGTATACAATCAATCTTATTGTGGACTAAATCGTATATGAATTTGATTAGCATTTTAGTTCTCCTAAAACACAAAGCTTCAATATTATAGATAGAAAGCAACAACTCTTGAGACGTACCACGAACAGGATAATTGCCAAACTCTTTATAATGTAGATATTTTATAAATCTACGTTGAACATTTTCCAGTTTTAAAATACTAACATGATAATAGGGGTCCCATATCACTGAGCCGTATTCTAAGCGTGATCGAATTAAACTGTAATAAAGAATTTTTAAGGTCATGATACTGGTAAATGTTTTTGTATTACGTATGACAAACCCTAATGTAGCGAGACTTTTTTTTACAATGTCATCAAAATGATTGCGGAAAGTTAATGCAGAGTCAAAGTTAATTCCTAGATCTTTAATTAAATCAGATCTTTTTAACACAAAGTTATTAATATTGTATTCATATGAGAGTTTATTTACAGATCTGCCATATGTCACCGCTAAACATTTGTCTTTGTTAAGACAAAGACTGTTAATGTCACACCATTGAATTACAGAGTTTACGTCTTCTTGCAAGCGAAGGCAATCTTCGATATTAGAGATTTCAATAAATATCTTTAGGTCATCAGCATACATTAGGCATTCACAGTTTTTTACAGATGAGAATAAGTCATTAACAAATAATACAAACAGTAACGGACCTAAATGGGAACCCTGAGGTACTCCAGATGTTTGTAAGATATCATTGGAGGTAAAACCATTGACAACTACTTTATTAATGCGATTGTGTAAATAAGAAGCGAAAAGTCTTTCTAAATTTTCAGAAAACCCCAAACGTAATAACTTCGCAAGCAGTAATTTGTGATTAATTCGGTCAAAAGCTTTTGACATGTCCATATATATAACATCGACTTGTTTCTTTTTATCTAAAGAGTTCATCAAATATTGAGAGATAGACGTGAGATTAGTAACTGTAGATCTTCCAGGTATGAAGCCATGCTGAAATTGACTTATCTTTCCATTAACAAGTTTGAAAATTTTATTATAAATAACCTTCTCAAATATCTTGGCAAAATTATTAAGAATAGAGATTGGACGATAATTAGTGACTTCATCTTTATTGCCGTGTTTATATATAGGACAAATTCGGCACATCTTCCAAACGTCAGGAAATACACAGTTTTTTATACTTAAATTAAAGATATATTTCAAAGGATCAGCAAATATGTTAGAACAATCTTTGATTAACATTGCTGGTATATTGTCTAAACCGGCAGATAAGTTAGGTTTCAAATTTTTTATTACATTGAGAATTTCAGATTCGCTTATGGAATTGAGTAAAATGGAGTCACTGTCCACTGATACCTCAGCTGGTGATGGTATATCATTATTTTGATAGACGGACGAAAAGTATTCGGCAAAAACGTTGACAATTTGATTGGGTTTATCATAAATTAGACCATTGGAGCTAATTCGTCCAGAGACAGGAGTCTGTCCTTTCCTATCTTGTACATATGACCAAAAGCGTTTAGGAGTTTTAATAATCTCTTCTTCACAGTTCAGTTGGTAAATACGAAAATCATGCTTGATTTGACTTTTTACTATTTTCCTGATAGCAACAAATGCATCACGTTAATGCTACTTTTACAATAGTGGAACCACCCAGTCAACTGAATTACGTAGGAATGATAAAAGATGTACAAAGTAATAATTCAGACTTCAGTTTCACTACGTTCTTTCTCAGGCAAAAAAAATATACTCCTAATAATATCGAATACTCTTACCCACACGAAAAAAACGAATTTGCTCTTTTAATTCCATATGATCGCAACCACCTAAAAAAGACTTCAGTAATGTCAATATTTTATCCATCAGTGTGGGCTACATTTACGGTGATATTAGTTCTAATCGCACTGGTTTCAAGTTTTTCTCAAAAAAACACCAACCATTTTGTAAAATTTTTCTTATATAGCTTTGGTGTCGTCATTGGAAGTGTGTTCCCGTTTCTAGAAAAAAGAAAACTTTCTTTAAAAGTGAATGTAACAGTGTTCATATGGAACTGTATTGTTTTCCGAACGGCATTCCAGAGCTTTCTAATCAGCACGTCGATGACTTCTTCGACATACGTTGAAATAAAAACCATACCAGAACTAAGAGACAGTCAAATACAAATCCGTGCCACACAAGTTATGGTAGACCTAATGCCTCGTGACTACAATCTGCAAAAACAAATTGTTTCCATAGATCTGTATGAAAGGCAAGCGCAACTTGAAGCACGAGACACTTCAGCAGCTTTTCTGATCAATAGTTTCAAAGCCGAAAAACTGATCGTCTATTGGAAAAAGCGCAAAAACGAATCACAGTTTTACATGATGCAGCAAGCTCTACTACCAGGAAGTGGAACTTTTCTTTTTCAGAAACATTCGCCGTATTTGGATACGATTAACGAATGCTTACAGTTGCAAAAGCAGTTTGGATTGTCAAAAGAAAAGAAAGGGCAGAGTAAAACTAGGAAAACTGAAGACGGCATTGTTGCCTTGAGCTTAAAACATCTTCAGTTTATTTTTTCTGTTTTAGTTGGGGGTTTAGTTGTTGGTTTTTTTGTTTTTCTTGGGGAAATAATTCACGATAAGATTTTCGTCTCGAAAATAAATTGAAGATGCTTTTAGATGTAAAATAGAGAATAAGATAATTTTAACTTCATGGTCCTTTCCAAATTATAATTTAATCTTCACTTTAAGTAATACAATTTTTTGTCAATCTTTCATTACTCTAAACTTGCTTAAGTTTTCTTCTATCATGTATCTTCTTTCTCTTCGTTTTTTAGTGTTTTCGAATTCCATTTCAATTCTTTTTGCCAAAATCTTGATGCCTCGTGTAAAAAATCAAGGCGGAGTCATAAAACACAACTAGAGAAGTATGTTATATTATAAAATTTAAATGTCGTTTACTAAAAAAATTGTGAGGAGACATCAACAAATTGTTGGTAGATATGATTAAACAAATTTTGGTTAGCGTTCAACCATCGACACAATATTCTTAACAAACATACACAATTTGACAAGAATCACTCCGGTAATCTCGGAAATTATTTGTACTTTTTTGTACTCTAGGTTAGGTCATGAAACGTCGAGAAAACACGAAAATATTCATTCGTCCGATGAACCCTGTTATAGTCCTTCATTAGCTTACGCTAGAAAAATAAAAATGAAGTAAAAAATTACTTTTGTTGTAGTGAATGAGAAGCGACAAAAATTTTGATCTTGAATGCCTTATTGTCTTGTTGTTATAGGTTTGACACCCTAATTTCTTCACCATGAGTCGGCCTGTAATTTTGTTACTCTTCCAGAACAGGTATTAAACTACTACATACATAGTCTGGTAGAAGTGATGACTAATAAGTTAGGGTGGAAGTATGAGAAAAACGGAATCTCTGTGCTGTGTGGTGCACGGTGCAGGCCAGCTCCGCTGTTCTTGTTACATTCAAGTGTTTTCTGTGAAATATATCCTGTAAGTAGTACCTCCCGGTAGCTTTTTTTAAGATTGATCCTTTGACTGATTATTATCAATCTCTTTTACCACATTAGCGAAATATATTCAAATTCACACTTCACCGATTTCTACGCCCGCGTATCTTATCGTTATCTCTTAGTAGCGTAATTTTTATGAGCAATTAAACTATATAAAATACCTATACAAAACCTTTCTCAAACACACCACACGAAGGTAATTAATATTTAAGTACTAAACGATATAATTAAAACAGGAGTCAAGTTTTCACTGTATTATCGCTAACTACAGGAATTTTACTTAAGTATAAAAATTTTGCAACAGTAAATGTAACGCACCTTACGTAAAAGAAAATTACCATTAGTTCTTCACGTTTGTTTAGCTTACATGAAAACAGAAGTACGTAATTTAAGTACTCTCGCTTTTTATAACAATTAAGTAAACAAAAAATCCATTTAAGTCTATTTTTCAGATAATTTTTTATCACGAGAAAAACACCATGAATTCTCGAACGCAGACTCTAGAATGGTACGATTACACCATTTTTGGAATCATGCTTACTATCAGTACCTCATTTGGAATCTATTATGGATGCGTAGGGACCAAACAAAAGACTATAAACGAATACTTGCTAGGAAATAAAAAGATGAATGCCTTACCCATTGCACTCTCTGTAGCTGTCGGGTAAAACCATTTCCGTAAACTATACAACCTTAAGCAAAAAACTCTTTGTGTAGACACTTTACAGCAATAACTCTGATGGCGATGCCTGCTGATGTTTACAAATATGGAGCGTTTCAGTGGCTTGGTTGCATTTCCATGTTCTTATTGGTCATATTATCTGTTTATATTTACTTCCCTGTATTTTTCAACCTTCAACTAACAAGTGCATACGAGTACTTGGAAAGAAGATTCGATAAAAAGACCAAGTTGTTAGCATCCTCTTTATATCTGTTATGTGAATTTATTTATCTCGCTGTGGTTGCTTATACTCCATCTTTGGCACTTTCAGTGTGTAAGTTTCAGTTTTTTTGTATTTCAGTATTAACTAATTTGGTTTCTAGCCACTGGAATTCACGTGCATTTAATATCTTCTGCAATATGTGCTATCTGTGTCTTTTACACTGCAATCGGAGGACTAAAAACGGTAGTTTGGACGGACTTTTTTCAATTTGGTGTAATTATAGTATCACTGCTCACCGTTTCTATTGTTGGTACTATTTCAAGTGGAGGTTTCGTATCAATATGGGAACAAGCTTTAAAAGGCGACAGACTTAATATATTTGAGTAAGTATTGGGAAAACTTGTTTCAAGGTATTTAATTTTGTTCCAGTTTTGATCCGAATCCAACAAAACGAGACAGTTTTTGGACTTATTTCTTTGGATATACAGCCCACTTTACTAACTACATCAGTCTGACCCAATCTGGATTACAGAAATTTTTAGCTTTACCAACGTTTCGTGAAAGTGTCTGGTATGTAGTTATTATTGTCCCGACTATAGTTGAAAATGCCACTGCAGGTCTGTGATTTATGTGGCTATTTGCTTAAGCATCGTATCTACTTTCGTTGTCTTCATTGGTCTCCTCATGTATGCAAAATACGCAAAATGTGATCCTTTTATAAGCAAGAAAATCCAAAGGCATGAACAGATGGTACCTTATTATATTATGGATGTAGCTGGACATGTACCTGGTGTTTCGGGTTGTTTCTTAGTGGCTTTATTTTGTGCTTCATTGAGGTAGTACACGGTACGTAGATGTTTATTTTGATAATCAACAACTACATTTTAGTACAATATCTTCAAGTTTAAACGCTTTAGCTAGCGTAATCTACAAAGATTTCTTGTATAACTTTTTAAATGAAAATATTAAAGAAAAAAGTGTGACAAAAATTTTGAAATTGATTGTCGCACTTTGTGGCATTGCGATCATAGGTTTGGTTTTGATAATGCAGCATTTGGGAGATATTATTCCGTTGGCTACTAGTATTACAGCAATATCACAAGGACCATCTATGGGCATGTTCACTTTAGGCGTTCTGTTTCCAAAAGCAAATTCTGAAGTAAAGTGTCGGTTTAAATTCAACAGTATGACAGTATTTATTTTTTAGGGTGCGTTTTATGGAGCTATTGGTGGTTTCATTTTCACAGCAAGTATCGGCATGCCTTTGAAATTTTACAATTTAGAGAAAACGTTTGCCTACCCGTCAAAACCTCTATCAGTTGAAAATTGCGATGTTTCAAACCAAACTACAGAATTTGAATTGCAGTGGTTAAATACTTCTTTTAAGCGGTCCAGTACTTCTATGAACCACACTATGCAGACAGAGAAGTACGGTTTCGCATAAGTAAGAACTGTTGGTCAAACTATGTTGTTGTAGCAGGAAGCCACCCTTTATATTTCGCATTTCTCATTATTATCACACGTTTCTTGGTGCAATAGTTACAGTAGCTTTGGGACTGGTAATTAGTTACGTTTCCAGCACAGGTGATCGTCTACCTGATAAAAAATTTTTGAGTCCACTTTGCCAAAATTTTGGACCAAACAAATCAAACCGTCTAGAAATGGTAAATCTCTTCAAGCGTAATGATTATCATAGTTAATATAAATGGAATAGTTTGGATGTTAAAAATGTTATCCACGTGTTACACATAATATTCCAAAATAAAGTTTTAGTTGGTCAGTAGAACAATTGGAAATAATTACTTTGAAACGAGAGTCATATATATTTTTATGCTTTGCATACTAACTGATCTATTTTATCGTCCTTGGGCGCACTAAAAAAGCCAAGAATGCATAACTAAGTATGTAGTGAATAATCTTGGCGTCAAAAAATTACACACGATAAATTTTTAGCAAGTTTAATTCTACAAAAGAAAAAAGTATGCTCAAAAGGCAGTCTTTAAATGCTTAAACCTGCACTTTTGCGAGAAAAATATTTAAAAATTAAAAAATGCTTATAAGGAATGTTCATTTTATAAAGGGGACACTGAAAAATTGCTACTAATTCGAGTACTTTGGGCTAATTTAATTTTTTTTGTTATAAAAATGTTTAACAATGTTAAATGAAATAATTATTCTTATTCTCTAATCAATTATATTCAGAAACTATAAAATTTTCTAACTGTTGCGCGAATACCGCGAATCACTGTTTGCACAGGATTGTTTGTGATTTTCTTCGTAGCAGGAGGCCACATTTTTTAAAATTCTCCAAGTCATGATGTTGTTCGGCCATCTTTTCTTAACACTGCTTTCATATTTGCCCATTATCGCTCAAGTGGACGAAGCTCAGGACAGTTGGGTGGTTTATCTTCCTTTTTTAAAAACTGTACATTATTGGCATTAAGAATCTCCTGAGTGGCACCAGCGTAGTGAACCGAAGCCAAATCTGGCCAAAACAATGGAGGGTTATGATGTTTACAAAACAGGCGATAATCGCGTTTTTAAACATTCTTTCCTGTAATCATCGCCCCCAATTGTTGCAATCGTAAAAAAAAAAAAACTTTTTAGCCCACAGGAACAAATCGGTTGCCACACTAAGAGTTTCTTCCCAAACTTTTCAATTTTTTTTGTTTTCATGTCATCGAGGACATCTTCCCCTACGACTGCATTATAAAACTGGGAGCCGGGTAGTGTATTGCAGTCCATTTTAACCTTCGTTTCGTTGTCCATCAAAACACAACGATTTTTGTTCGTGACCAAAATTGTTTATAACTTCCTGCTTTTTTTTTTAAACTGTATGCGCTGCTTTTCGCTTCTTTTTGGGATTTTTGCTTTAATATGTTCTAATGTTATTCCGAGTCTTTATATTTTGTACAGTACCTACGGTAACACCTTGCTTCTTGGGTATTTCCCGCACAGACATACATTTCGTTAATTTTAGCAGTTTAATGATGTTTTCCTCAATATTTTTGTTAAGCGGGCCTTTTCTCGGTCTGGATTTGAGCAAATCTTCTAAAGTATTAAACTCCCCAAACTTTTTGATTATTTGGAACACTGCTGATTTTGAACATTTAGTTATTTTAGGCAGTCCCCCCAACGGAAATTTTTCGTAGCATCACTTTTGCAAAGATAATTTTCTTGCCCCAATGGCGATTCGCTTCATTTTAAAAAGAAATAACGTTATTTTGAAAACAAAAATGGCATTTAATAGATACAACTTAAAGCTTTCATATATAAAAACTAGAATAATTTAGATTAAAAATTAGAAAAGTGGCGTTACTTTAAAGGTGTCCGTTTAATAAAATCAACACTCCTTATAATGCTTGCATAAATTCTGTGCATTACTTTATCGCTAGTTGTAAATCATTTTATATGTTTTTTTGCATTTCAATAAATGCAGAAAGCGCATATTCATATTTTTACGCTCGTAAATTTTTTGGCAAAATAAAGTTACAAAGATATGAAAATCATAAAAAATGGAAAGCGATATATTTTACATTGACAAAACAATGGTAATAATAACATATATGTTTATTTCCCACGGTCGCAATTTTACATAAAGCATATTTAAGATCTTTCAAGTATATCCGAAAGTAAAGCAAATCAATAAAAATTTCACAAGTATACAAATGTTGTATGTATAATTATAATTAATAATTATTAATTTTTGTAATTATAATTAGAGCCTACTGGACGTTCTCCTTATCACAAATTTTTATTTTCCTTAAAAAAATTCGCCTGGAATTTTAATTGGTGATTCATTTGCGTATCGACAGCGATAACACACCAGTGTTTCACTACAAAGTGAAGTGACAATACGAACATTTTTTGCTTGCTTAAATTTAAAAATACATCGTGTTTTACCCGTCGACCTAATTACAACAATAGAGCCGTTAAAATCGTAAAAAAAAAACATTTCCATTTTTAGCAAGGTCTTACAAACTGCATTCCGTACAAACACTCGTATAGTTAAGTGCTACCATACGTTTGACAATTATGAATATTTCTACACAGTTTATCGAAGACACAGTGCAACCCTTTACCCTAAAGTCAACAATCAACAATCTCTCATTTTCATGGTTCGACGCATTTATAGTCTTCATTACTATCTTCGTTTTCAATGTATGCATGGGAATTTACTTTAATTATTTTACTCGGAAGCAGTCCACAACTAGCGAATATTTGTTGGGTGGTAGAACCATGAATGTTATCCCTGTTGTCATCTCACTAGTGGCAAGGTAATCAAAGAACACTGATCAAAACTATTACTAAATGTTAAATCTGCAGTCACACATCAGCTAATACTCTTTTGTCTGTACCAGCCGACGTATATAGGTATGGAGCGGCATATTTACTGGGTGCCATATCAACAATCATTCTCACAGTGGTGACAATTTATGTCTACCTCCCTGTATTTTTTAATTTAGGAATTACCAGCGTTTATGAGTACTTAGAACGCAGATTTGACTCAAGAACAAGACTCCTTGCTTCATTTTTGTCGATCGTATCTTACATTCTTTATCTTCCTATTGTAATCTATGTTCCATCTCTTGCGTTTTCCGCTGGTTCGTCTTACCGTTATGTGTGATTTTTGTTAAATAAGATGTTTCAGCAACTGGTGTTAACGTTCATTTTATGGCAGCATCAATCTGCGGTTTGTGTATATTCTACTCAGCCATCGGAGGTCTACGAGCTGTCATTTGGACTGATGCTGTTCAATTTATGATTGCCATTCTAGCTGTTTCTTTAATTTGTATGATGGGTCTTCAATCCACAGGAGGGTTTTCGGTTGTTTGGAGAAAAGCCATCGACAGCAAAAGACTTGATATTTTCGAGTAAGTATTTAGAGAAGTGTTTGTATTTTAAAACTGTAAACTTAAAGTTTTGATATGGATCCAACGAAACGTGATACGTTTTGGTCGCTTGCAGTTGGTTTGACAACACAGAGAGTGGCCACCGTTGCTATTTCTCAAAACTGTATGCAGAAATTTCTGGCAGTACCCACCTTCAGACAATCTGTATTGTAAGTATCAAAGTATCAAAGTTGATTGTTAAATAAAGCAAACAGGACGGTCATTTATTTCGGAGTTGGAACGATCATCATCAAGACGATAACGATTTTTCTTGGTTTACTAATTTACGCAGAGTATTCTGCGTGTGATCCTCTCTCAGCGCAGAAAATTACAACTGATAACCAGCTTGTTACGTACTTCGTCATGGATGTGTCTAAAAACATTCCCGGACTTCCTGGATTGTTTATTGCTGGAGTGTTCAGTGCGTCTTTAAGGTAAATCAAATTTGTAAATTTGATTTTGTGGAGGTTAAAGAATTGTAGTACTTTGTCAGGAGATCTAAATTGTCTAGCGGGGATAATTTATGAAGATTTTATTGTCAAGTTGTCCAACGAAAAAATTAGTGATAAGAGAGCAACAACTATCTTGCAGCTTCTTGTAATCATTTGTGGGCTCATATGTACATTGATGGTCTACTTTGTTGAACATATGGGAGGTCTGTTTTCTTTGGGCTATAGTTTAAGTGGTGTTACAACTGGTGCCATTTTGGGGATGTTCACAATGGGAATATTTTACCCTGGTTTTAATGCTAAAGTAAGTTGTGTTGTTGCTAGAATTTAGCAAAATATGTGTCTAAACCTTGTAACAGGGGGCTTTTTATGGAGGTCTCTGTGGTTTTATTACAATTGCCTGTATCATTTTTCCTGCACAATATTATCAAATGCTGGGGTTATTAAATTATGTCTCTAAACCAACATCAACCAAATATTGCAATGCCTTAAATGATACATTTACTGTTACTACAACACCAAGGTATGTAATTTTTTCAAACTTTGACCATTTTTACCCGCGTTTAAAATTTTCAGAATTTTGTCTCCGTCAACCGAACTGTCTTTTATTTTTAGGATATCATTTTATTATTATTGTTTAATGGGTACTGTTATTACTTTATTTTTTGGTTTAGTAATTAGTACTGCAACAAGGAGAAATAATGAGAAGTTCGTAGACAGAAAACTTATCAGCCCATTAGGATACACACTTCTACAGAACGAAATAAAAGACTGTAGTAATATTTCCATGACGAAACAATGTTGATTTTTATTTATTTATTTTTTTTTTTGTTTGATGTCATTTTGATGTGTCCTCATGTCTTAATTAATAATAAGTATTATGTTATTTTGTACAAAAAATAAACATGGTTTTTTGTTGCGTATTATTTTTTTTTTAGTTAAAGTTATTTTTCTGTGTCTACTAATTTCTCAAAAGTTTATCAATTTGCACAAATTTTAAGTTTTAAAAGCACTCCTTACGTGTGAAGTTAAATTAAAAATAGCGTACACTTCAGTTGAGATATACTTACTCGGGAAAATGAGGACACGTTTTTTTTTGGACAATCTTAGAGTATCTACACTTGACCCATATTTAACAAGAGCACAAAATCAATATTTGAGCTTGCACTACGTTCATGAAATCAATATACATAATTAAAAAATATAATCCCAAATTTTTTCAACATTAAAAAAAATTCAGTCACTAAAATAAAATTTATTTTATATGTAAAAAATTGGTCGAAAGTTATAACTTACCTCGCCCCGAAACGGCCTAGCACTTTAAACAATTATTTATATTTATTTTATAATTGAAAAAAATATATTTGTTTAGAGTGTGTTCAGGTATACTGAATTGCCGTAGCCATAGATGTATGTTTGGTTGCCTAACATCATTCTCAGCTTCGAAAATTAGTGCAACTAGAACCGCTAGAAACACTTAATACTAAATCTTTGCAACAATGGAATGTTATTTAACTTCCTTCTTATTTTCATTATAAAAAAATTAATGCATCCTAAACAGATATAATGATCAATACAAATTCAACTACATCTCCACTGATGTCATTTATTACAACAGCAAAACTCTAACACTGTTCTTCACATAATCTATTAAAATATTAGTGTCCAGAATGACCAGAATCCTTGACTACATGATCAAGTTGCTCCTCAGGATCGTGAGGCCAGAAAGTAGGTTTATTGATAGGATCTAGCGCCTGTTCTGGGAATGCGTCACGGAAGTCCTCCATAGTCATCTGATCAAACGGTATCAAAGCCGACAAATGCGCCAGCTCCTTCTTCAACCTTTAAAACAAAAACCATCAAACAAACCCCACCAGATCCATGAAACTTACTCAGCAATTCTTGCATTTGATTCTTGCTTAAACTTCTCAATCTCCACCTTCAATTCCTTTTCTTGAGCATCTATTTGAGTGCTAACTGTATCTGGTGGGTAGGGGATTTTCAACGCACCGTATTGCTTCTGGAATTCATCGACCATTCCAGCAACTGGAACTTTCGACTTGTAGAAAGCCCAGTTGATTTCTGGGGCCTTCTCTGGGTTTTTGAGTACGCTGAAACACAGAATAAGAAGACTGAAATTACACTAGTTATGTAAAGTGTACCTGCGGAGATATTGATCGGATTTGGCTTTAAAGGCTTGAAATAGGTTCTTTTGGTGTGGGGGCACTCTTTCGGCGAGCGCGGCCCAGTTAATCGCACTTTGGGTGATCCTTTTTGCAGCCATTTTTACGTAAAAGTCGACCAAAAGACACAACCTCACCACAAAAGTCGAACGTTTTTGGTTATGTAATTTTTGACAGTTGGAAACCTAGGTACCAACCGGACGATTACAATGTTACTAGATTGTTATATTCGATCCCTGTTTTTTGTGGTTATTAACCTGTTTGGATTTTTGTTTTTTTCAAATTAAGGGTGAATTTTGTTGATGTTTCTTGAGGGTAACTTGTAAGATTTGTTTACGTTTGTGGGAGGCCCGAGTTTCTAGTGGTGGGGGGGTTTAGGGACTGTTTGTTTTCTTTTGGTTGAAAGCTGTCAGGTTTTCTCAGACATGGTAAAATGGCCGTGATGTACACAGGTTTTGTGTTGATGTTCTTGAATTAATATAAGTTTTAAAGTGATGTGATGTATGATCGTCGTTTAATTTTGTGAAAAATTAAGTTTCCAGTGCTGCGGACAAACGCCGTCAACAATTATCAACGAGAACCTTTCCCTAGTAACGTAGTAAATAAGGTCAGTATTTTTGTTGTTAACATGTCATGTCATTGTTTGAAAATTGATTGATTTTGCGGTATTTTCACAAAAGACATCGATCTCGTGAATAAAGAACGCGTTTCAATTGGCCCTATTATACTCCGAGTCGATTTCCAGGTCGCTCCGCTCCTTTCCGACAATTTCCATCACAGCAATTTTTCCCCATTGTGTACACTATTTTGATTGATATGATCTCCACATTCACCACCATTTGGAATCCCATTTTCTGGGATTTTACATACGGTATGAGTCACGCGTTCTTTTTCCCGTTTCATTTACATAATTAATAAATACTCCGAGCAACCCCTTCGACTTTCCGTGCGTGTTCCAATAAGCCGAAAATTTATAGATGCGCCCCATTTCGTGTAGATGCCACCCCGTGTTATTTTTAGCCGCAGATTCGCAACTTCCCTTCTTCTGCTCGACTAAGTAAGGGGAGACGCGGGATTAGTGCGGATCCGTGTTCATCCAAAGACAAGCAGGAACTTGTCGAAACGCGGAAAACCGAGGAAATATCGACGCTTTTCCGGCCAGAATTGGGTCGACGCCGAGACGGCTTCGAATTTCCCGGACTGTGAGATGAAAATGTCTTTTAAATGGGTCTAGGCGCCGAATTAGGGCTTCGGTGGCATCTTAATGACATTCTTGCACATGGGCGCCGGGTTGTGAACCCGAAACGGGGGCAAACCGCAAAATTAACACCCGGAAGATAACAATAATACATTCATTTATATATAGGTTTAAAAACCACTAGTGCAGACACGTACAGTTTTTAAAATAAAGCTATCATAATCAAATCATTTATACACTGCTTCTAGATGAAGTCATTTCAGTTTTAAGATTGTTTAAATTAATAGCATAGAAGTTAATTATTTTTTATAATAAAGTCGGATTCATAATCAGTTCTCAAGCTTTGGCTCTTATTTAAATTTTATTTATGTGTTATACAACATTGCTGATTATGTAATTTTAATGTGGATGAAGTTTGTTTCGAACGAACTTTCGTAGTGATTTTGCCTTCTGACCAGTGGCTTTTTTTTATTGTGTCAACATTTTGATGAACGTCATGATCTCTCAAGATTATTTTCTAAGCGATTTTATTATACCGTGGACGTACTATCTTTGTACAGTAATAAAGTTTTACAACATAGAAATTTAGGAGCGTTGGCCCCTCATTCATAAAACGATAAAAAACAGACTCTGAAGTTTGAAGGTCGTCAAACCCCGAACAGCGCCGGGTTATTCTACCCTGTAATGAATAATTGAGTGTCCACAGTCGGACTTCACATTCACTATGTCAAAGAGTTCCACAGGGTTCTGTCCTAAGATCCCTACATTTTTTAATTTTTGTGAACGACTTGTTACTTTCGGTTTAATATTATGAGCAGAAAATACGGATCTTCTCAGAAAATAACATTGACGAATTGACGACTGCATCAGTAATCATATAACGCATTTTGAGGTTTGGACTGATTCATAGTAAACAACCGTTCTTTAACTGATAGCAAATGCGTCAATATGATTTCGTTTTCGAAGAAATTTGAAATTACTTAGAATTACAGAAAATGTTACCGACTGACTCGGATTCAGACTAATTTCCAACTTAAAATATACAAAAATTTGCCGAATTCACTTTACTAAATTAAATTACTATGACCTCGCCTTCTTTGTACATTTACATTCCTCTAAATTAAATACAAAGCATGAAAAAGAATTCTCAACTTGGCGAGAGACAATTTGAGCCAGAAAGAGGTTAAATTAAAAGTGTTGCCGAATTCTGCAATAAAATTCAAGTACGTGTTAAAGTAGCCATAAAAATTATAAAGTATTTAAAAACGTTAATAAACCAAGCATATTATAGCCGTAACGATTTTTTTTTAGGTGAAAATAAAGATATTTCTATTGTCGTCGAAAATTTTTGTTTGTATTTCGTCTTATTCATCTTTTGGCATACATTAATTAAAATGTATCACTTTTTTTTTAATTTCATAAATTTTCTTCAATAAAGATCATTAATAATAATAAATGAAAAACAAATATATTGAGAAAAACTTGTTTAAAACTATTTAGACGGAATTTTCCTTGCCTCTGAAGCACAAGGTTTATGATGACGGCATCAGATTTTTAGTATGGATAAATACAATATAATTATAGTACTGGGTTGTCAGAATCTTAGAAAAATAAGGTACGGTGTTTTTGCCTTAAATAATAAAATTAATTGTTTGAATTCATTAATTTTTTTCAGACAACCTGTAAGAACAATTCCAAAAGAACTAATGAAGAAAGAAAATAGAAAATTTTGCATATTTCAAATGCGATTTACTTGATAATATTATGTTCACGATAAATTTAAAGTTTATACAGAATTACATAGCAATCGCTGTTGTACTTTTTAAGCTGAAATTTTGCTGGACACGATATTCTTAAAATATGCCCAAGATTTAAAAACAATCAGTCCAATAATTATGGAGATTATTTGTCAAATAACGTCGCCAGCAGGCGATAGGCAAACGGAAACGGAGGACCTATTTTATCATATTCTAGGAGCTACGGACCGTCTTAGCTTACGCTTGAGAAGTAAAAAAGGGATTTGGTTTCGACTGTAGTTCGTTTTCAATTTTTTATTATATACTTTCATGTTTTCTCGACGTTTCATGACCTCTATTGTATGAAAAAGTAGGTCTCGTGTTTCCGTCTGTCTGTCGTCTGTCTCGATTTTTCTTAGACAAATAATCTTCTATACTACCGGACCGATTGTTGATGTCAAATTTTATATCTATGTTAGAAATATCGTGTAGACGGTAAAACGACAATAAAAATTTGTTTGATCTTCACGCAACATGGGCACTGGCTCAGTGGCAAGCACCTTTGAAGGGTCTGAGGTTCGATCTCCGATATATTTTTTTCCCTCACACTGTAACTTGTTTACCTGTACTATACATATCTCTACTTTATTTCAATTTTATAATTTTTCAAGAAGCTGAACTTCTTGTACTGTACTTCAAGGGGTGCAAGTAATCTTGGATCATTTTTTTATTTATCCAAAAAAAATTCGTTTCAACTACAAAATGCCAAGAAATATTTTTCATTAAAAAAATTAAGCAAGTCTCCGCGTCGAGTTCTGAGTTTATGGTTTCATAGAATAATGCATTTGTATCAATGCAAAATCGAGTCCTCGATAGTAAACGAGGCCTTAACATTCCACTGTTTTCTTTGATATTTCGATGTATGAGTGACACCTTATTTGGAATTGCTTATATGTACTTATATTGATTAAATCAAGAAAAACTCACCCGATTTTCCAGAAAATTTGGCAATACATATAACATTATTACTATTTGTAATCTACTTAATATAGTAATCGTCGACCAATTTTTATAATTTTCGACAAATTCAATTAATTCCAAAGTATTGATCAAAAGTGCTTAATACCAATATAATTTCAACTTTTTTTAATACAATATAGGATCTATCAGTTCGTGCACGAATTTATAAAAAGAATTCGAGCGCGAATGAACATAATAACCTGTTAATGTTTCATACAATACTTTGTAATTTTAGGGAGTTGATTAAACTAGTCAGTTTGGCCTCGAATTGTTAGTTTCCAATTCCTTAATTATAATGAATATTAAAAATAAATCAAGTCATTTTCGTTTTCTTCTTCATGGTGGGTCTTGATGTTTGAAAACGTAATTATTACGGTTTTTTTAACAAATTCGTTATCGACTTGGCCATCTCATTTTCGTCTGTGAAAACGCAAAATAATAATTTCAGGTACAATCGGGTTACAATTCTGTTAAAAATCTCCTGTTTGTGGACTACTTTTATTTGAAATGTAAAGTGTTTGATTAATTATTGTTCCGGATCTTAATGACTTGAAAACACTTGTTTTAAAATAAAATGTAAATTGCTTGGCAATTAATGTTAAAATCAGTACAAATTTAAGCTGGTTTTAGAAATTTGTTATTTATTATTCCTTGTTCTTGTGGTCAAAGAATGCAGAAATTCCTTTATTTATAATCACCAACATTAATATATGAAGTCATCTTAGTGTCTTTAATTGTTTTAATATTTAGTAGTTGAGGTTAGTAATTTTAATATTTAGTAGTTGAGGTTTCTAAAAAAAATATATGGTTATGTTCTGTGAAGCATTTGTGAAATTATGTATCGAAATTTCCTCGTTTCTGAAGGCAAAACAAAATTTTTCGCAATGACGTCATAAAATTTTTGATGGGAGTAAATTCACAGCTGTTGATTTATACAGGGCACAGAAATTCCAAAGTTATACTCCGAAATTTAAAGGGTTTAGATGAACCGTGTTTTTCTATAGTAATCGTTAAGATTTATTTATTTATGTAAAAATTTTATTGAGAGGATGGTTAAAACTTGGTTAACGAAAAATCAGTTTTCCTTTAATTTTAAAAGAATCGGTTCATAGTTCTAGAGATGATGTGTCTAATAAAACGTTACAGTTAAGATCAACGAAAACAGGAAATCCACATTTGCCTGTTTTACGAGCTGTAAAATGGCAAAAAAGATGAAAATAGACTTTCACGAAAATAGCTCTATTAACAATACCTTCCTTTGGCTGTCGCTCGGAAAGTATCTCCATTACTATTGGTTTAATTATTATTATTAACCACTGCGAAAATGTTCAGCTGGTATAATTTTCCGTGGCATCGTGCCAATACAAAAAGAGATTATTTTAAAAAAATTATAGTTTCTATACATTTTCTACGACAGCAATCAGTCCTACCGATAAAACTATCAAAGTTGCTAATTGCTCATGTTATTTCTAATTAACCTGTTACTCTGCTTTCTTTAATACGACTATTGCACACTTTTGTAGCTCGCTTTGCTTCCCAGTAGACCGACTAATTTCATTTCAGCCTAAAATCCACACAACTCGTCCAAACGAAACAGCATCATTCATGCAAATTTCCCGTTATCACTCAACCAAATTATCAACAAATCGTAGG